CGGATGATCCTAGCCTGCATCAGGGTCAACAAAGACTTGCCGGCGGCGGCATGAGCCGGAAGTATCCCTCTTTGTCTTTTTTTTTTGTCTCTCATCTTTGGAAATCGGTTTTCTCTTTCCCTATATCTACTAGGCGCTATACTATATCCGGGTGCAATGACTGTTTAATTTCATTTTATGTTGTTTTTTGTTTTTCGGGATCTTGTTCGGCGTCTGGCTTTGCGACGAAACGACATCCAGCGGGGCCCGTGGGGAGGAAGACCGGGAGTGGGGAATGGGAAAGTGGACTAGAGAGAATGCGTAGTTAGAAAGAAAGGAGAGGGGGGTTACCATGCACCATGAAATCAACTTTCATCCCCCAGCCTATAGATTTCTTTTCTCGAGGCTAGCTAGCTAGAAATCAATAGATTAGATAAGTTCATAGCACCAACTACATCTGAACTAAGTGAACTAAATTCTCTTGCATTTCCGCTATTCTTTGACCTACCTGACCTACCTACCATTCAAAGCTACACTGCACTACCGGCCGGATGAAGTACGCTTCCTCCTACTGAATAGGTATTTCATGTCTAAGAAAGTGATGTTTGTTATTTTATCATACATTTCCGAGGAAAGCCGGTCGGCGAGTGGGAAAGTTGTTCCTTGTCTCAGTAAACGTAACGCTTACACACTCCTTCTCTTACTTTCCTCTAGTCCGAGTGTTCGTCATTCTTTCTGGGCATACTGATAGATATTGTCTGATAGATTTGAAAAGAAAAAACTTAAGTACGCGCCTGAACAATCAAGGCAGGAGGAAAACACACACACACACACACACACACACACACACACAGTTGCCTATCGCGGTGGGTATAGGAGTTACGTGCAGAGCAGACTAACGATTACCGTGCAGTTGCCCCTCTCCTTGGCTTGAGACCCCACCCCCTCTTTTGCATTGAGCATAACTGAGAACAGGTGTGCCGATTGCATCCCAAAGAAGAGCCAGAGGCGGTGGTAAAGGTTCAGGGAAAGAATAGTTTACGGTAGGTATATTGAGAGGGCTGTTATGCTCCGGAAGTCCGCTGGATACATCTTCGTCTCGAGGGGTGGGGATGTTGCCGGCTTACTGCAGGAGGAATATTGCATCGGAATAGTGTGTGTGTGGGGGGGGGGAGGCAAGGAGGAGGGAAAGGGTATAATACTGCGTGATAGAGATCAATAGAGCTCAGTATGTCAGTCTGTTGACTCCACCGTCGGATACCTTACAGGGCCAAGGAGTTCTTCTCCTTTCCGCTCTTCGGAGCAGGTCCGGTCGCCACTTGCTTACGTTTTCTTTCTTGGGCTGCCCATATCCTTCCCCACGCATGTAGAACCGGCGAGACCGGAAGGATGTTTGGGGGGCTTGCTTCCTGCGTAGTAGTAAGACACCGAATATGCTGCTGGTTTTGCTGGTGTTGCAGGGTGACCTGTGCTGTTATCGTCGAATATTACCTTTATCGGGGGAAAGTAATGTCGGCAGGATGTATACTCGGTTAATTCAGTGTCTCCGTTTGGGCTTTTGGCTTGAACTAAGGAATCCTTTGCCTTGACTCAGATTGTCGGCGATCCTTGCCCTGTTTCGATCTGATCAGAATGCGAAATTCAGCAGCAAAACAGAGTAGAAACCCTGGGCATTATGACCCTAGCTGAATCAGCCCGGAATTTCTCCGATACCGCATGAAGGTGAACGGCGAAACAGGACTGTACCTGACTCGGTGGTGGAGGAATATGCTGTACCTCCGTCCTAAACGCCACTGGGCTCTAAACCTCGACTAAGACGATGGCTCACAATCCGCGCCAAATTCGGACCATTGAGGTGAGCCAGCTACTGAGTTATCATGCCAAAGGCTGAAAGGGACACACAGGTGATGATCCATCAACGTCATAAACAACCATCAGCGACGCCCGAACGAGTTTCAAAAGGTAGGTTAAGCTTATCAATAATATTAGAAAGAGGGGAGACCCTAGTCCGGGAGAAGGGAAATATGCAATTGCGTGAAATGGGCGCTTATCGTTCTTGACGCGAATGGTTGGAAGTAGATTGTTCTGCAGAGTCTGGCCGTGGGTTTCCTGCAGAGCTCAGAGAAGATAGAGTGATGACACTGACTGGATATCTTGTCCTCGATTGCGCTAGAAAGATAGGGAAGCATGCAATAAGGTAACATCATCAATCCAGTATGTATGCTTGGAAAAACAGAGTCGAGGTGCGTGGCTCCTCGACTGGCTCATTGGTTTTGGCTGGGCGTCTATCCATATCTCGGCGAGGCGGGGGAAGGAGCTGGGCAAGAGTCTCGAAGAGGAAGGGATTATTGGTGGGCTTGCTGTGGTGTCTAGAAGTAGGATTTGACTGGTGCTTTTGGTCAATTCTTGAACAATGCGATTGATAATTCTATGTTGTCATTAACAGGATGAACCTACCAGGTGTTTGTTACCCATGCTCCCCGGGCTCTACTTTCGGCGGCTGGCTGAAGATTTTGTGGTTGTTTTTTGGCCCTAAGCTTCGAACAACGCTCGCATCTGTTTGTCTGGGCGATAAATGTTGAGCTCTACCACATCGGTAGTGGTAGAGGCGGCTTTCCTACCAGACAGAAAAAGTGTTGAGTAAGAACGCGTTGCCTGTCTCATAGCACGACAAATTAATTCTCCATAACTATCCACGAATCGAACTTTAATAGAGCACGGAATAGTAGTGACTGCCGGTTGAGTCGACTGGTCGGTTCTCCACTGCGAAGAGAAAAAAAGGGACGGACCGTGACCCGGTCCATCCGTCAAAACACCAAAACAGAGGACCCCGCGGGCCTGCGGCAGGCCGAGGTGTTGGGGGGCTGCTGAATGAGACTCACCACTCACCACGTCCACCTCGGACCCTCGCTTGCATTGCAGCCTAAAGACTGCAGTCTAGTCTAGACTTGGGTCGGCATCTGCCAAGCACCGCTGCCAAGAGAAAGGAAGAAACCGGGGAGATCAGGGAGAACGAAGGGAGAGGAGAGGTCCGGACCCGGTCCGGAGACACGGTTAATGGAGTCTCAGTCTTTGCCGTGATTCTGCTTGATACGTAAGTATCAAATAGCCCCTCTCTACACGGAGAAATGCACAGATGCGGCTAATAATGTCCACCAACATGCCCAGCTGTAGCTCTGGCTGGCCGCTGGAGCGTCCTAATGAGGATGATAAGTTGAATGTCTGGCTCGAGCCTATTGATAGGCTTGCGATTGCATGTGGACTTGATTGCTAGGGGGTGACGAAGCGTGCCACTGTGTCTAGTTATCGGGCTCGTCCTGGTTGTGGTGCGGCTGGTGCTACGGTTTCCCGACGGAGATGCTTGGAAAATAGATGCAACCGCGCAGGTTCGGAGAGGGGAAGAAAGCGAGGCTTTGGGAAAGAAACAATCACATTCAGACAACAGAGAAAGTACCATTGGGTGTGGGTAATATCCATCATGCTGCGTACCTTTGGAAATAAGATAGCTTTGGTGTGCCAGAGGGAAGCACGGAGCACTTGACCAGAAGTCCACTCGGATAAAGAGAACGTTAGTTTCTTGGTAAGTGGAAACAAAGGCTTGGCTCGTCACTTGTTTGTTTGACAGTATCGAACCGTATCGCAATGCTGACGAGGCTGATGGTGAATCGACACTATTCCTTCAGCATAGTCCAATAGGATGATAAGAACATTACTCTGAATTCCCTGCCGACCACCACATTTCATTAGATAGAGAGGAGGAAAGGGGGGCGGATAATAAAAAAGAAAATAAATGTCGTGTATGTTGCGGAAAGGGGTCTTCTCTGGAGGCGCACTCACGTCAACCTAGGCAGTGAGCTAGGCATGGTCCTGATCTTGTCTGTAATGTCACTGGCTTGGCTGGCAACGTCGCATGCTTAACGCTGCTCTCAACATGCTTATCCTTTTCTTCCTATGGCTCAATATCACGACTGAGGGTCGGTCTCAGAGCTCGTTGGCAGCCCTGGAGAAGGATTGGAGCACGCCGAGGTGATGATGGAGGTGTGCTATTGTTTGGTTTGTATCGTATCCATTTTTATTGGCCTTCGTGTCATGTTACCGAGATTGCAACAACACGATATCGGAGCTCTTAATGAGGTAGACAATTTTTTTCATTGAAGCGTAGCTGACGGTCGTACATTTCATGTTCGCGAAGGGATGCAACTGCAATCGTAATCGAGCCAGAAGTCCCCACTTGGCCGGTGGAACGTGTCCAGCGTAGCACCTTTCGGAATAACGACGTTAGTATTATACTAATTGTAGAGATTTGAAGGCAGCCACAAGACACGGCCAGGGTGGACAAATCAACATAGGCAGACAGCCGATTGTATCCTATCTTGTCTGCTCTCGTTGCGTGTTCCAGAACCTCGGTCAAGGTTACTACCGTAGGTAGTTGTAACGTCACGCTCGCTCATGCTTGCAGGGTGTGACAGATAGATAATCGGAACGGGTTGGTATTGTGAATGACCCGGTGTTGGCGCTTGGACTTTGTCTGACTGGAAGTGAGGATGCTTGAGACCTAGTATTTCACCCAAGGCTTGTTTTTGCTTGGTAAAGCTTGGTTAGAAGTGTCAAGATAAGACATGGCTCTTGTGTCAGTGAATCACGAAAGTCCTGCAGCAGGGATATCTGAGTCAACGAATGGGTCTAGCATGGATGTTTTGGGGAGCTAATTTGTTGATGATTAGCGGAAGCGGTAAGGTGGTCATTATTTAGGAAGTGGTTTTAATGATAAAGTACGGAGTACTCCGTACCTAGTACTAGGTAGGTAGTTGCAGTGGAGAGTCATGTGAGCGGGCGATGGGTTGGTTGTTCTCTTCAGGTTTGGTGGTGTTCTTCAAGGTTGCCCGTCTTCTGCTCTTCCTGCTTGTATGCCCAGCTAGGGGTCCATGGAAGTATTTGCTCATCATTATAGCTAGTCTAATTATACATGTCCAAGCCAAGCCTCCACCCAGAATCAGGACTACAAAAAGAATATTAGTCTCGTTAAGCACGGCCAGTGGTATATCCCATAACATAGAAAAAGAAAACGAAAGTAAACCCAAATGACTCCAACCTAGTGTTCCCTATCTGCCACGACCTCAACTGTCTGTGATACGTCAACCGTCTTATGAATACCGCCTGTTTCCGCACTGGAGGCAACATCAAGCCCACCAGCAAAGGAAATAAGGTGACTTTGGTCCGAAGCAGATTCGAGTCCGTCGGCTCGACGTGACGTGCCCATTGAAAACCGTTTACTGCCTCCGTTCTTCATCTTACTCAGTTGCAAGGATGAGGTGGGCTCGTAACGGTCGGAACTGTAATAGCCCTTCTTGCGGAGCTTGTTGACGAGAATGTTGATAGTGGGGAGGCAAGCGCATATCAGGGCGACCCCACCCTCCGCATTGCTGTTTACCAGTCAGTTAGGCTGAATGCTTCAGACCATTAAAAGCCCATATGAGCGGGAATCGAAGTCTTACCCAGACAGAATGACACAAATAAATACAATAGTCATATCTCTTGAGCTGCCTTCTCTGACCACCAGAACCAAACGGTACAGACTGAACGCTGTGGCCAGTCCACCAGCTGAAAGCATACCAATGACTCGCATTTTCTTGCTGCGGGACATTTGCAAGGACCACGTCAAGGGAAGAGGCAGAATAAGGATGATCAGGTCGGAGACAACACTGATGACTGAGTCGGCGATGAGTGCGGCTTGTTGGTCCATACATTTGGCCTTGGGGCTACCCGTCCAGTATCCTGGGATGGGGTCGCACATCCGGATTTTCACAATCTCGGCGATTATATAGTAGACACACAGACAGCCCAGAAAGAAGTAGATCATGAGAATTTTGGTGCGATACGGAGCGAAGATGCGAGTCAAGATGGAGAGGAGAGCGACTTTGACCAGCAGGGCCATGGGACAGTAAAGGACGGTGGCGACATAGCAGAACTGAGAGATAGAGGTCAGAAGTCGGAAGTTGGTGAGGCTCAGTTCAATATACCTTGCGGAAAAGGACTTGGTGTGCAGTCGAAACATCATCAATGTGGTACCCTCCCCCGTATTTTCCAACTGAATGCTGCGTCAGTCGATTGCAGTGCGATGGGCTCTGAAGGGCTCACCTATAATCGAGACGGAACAGTATCCCATGAACAAAATCTAATAAGGTGTTAATCCTCATCCAAACACTCCAGCTTTTCAGGTCAGCCGTACCCATGCCGCGAGACAAGACCCTGGGAAATGTTAACAATCCGAAGAAAGCGATCTGGAATTTTCTTAACGTACAATCTTCCACTCCCACCCATTGCTTGTAGTATGTACGAATTGAGAACCGTAGAATTACAAAGACACTGACGATAGGGATACACAAGCACTGCGTGATGAAGTTGATGGTGTTCAAGACATCTTTTGGATCGTTCACAGTCATGACGCCTGGGGTAAAAGGAATAATAGCGAATGTATCCCCAGAGGTCGAGACAGCATTGACAAAAAGGATTTAGAACCCCATCGCACGTTCGGTGGGGGAGCCAGTCTCATTTGTATTATAAATAAAAAGGCGAGTCCCAGGCTCCCAGCTCCATCGTCCGAGTGTCATTGCGCCTAGTCTTTCTCCCAGGGACAAGCACTGATGAAGCCCACCGTGGCGACTCTGATAGGCGCCAGGCGAGTGTCTAGAGAAGCTCAAGTTTGGGTCGGAAGATGGGAAAACGAAGCCGAGTCGAATGGCCTCCAGTCACAGTGTGAACAGCATTCGAACCGTCGACTTGATCGACCCACTCAGTCGCGATTGAGAAAACGTAGAGGAAAACCTTAAGCTGACAGGGCAGAATGCCAGGGGTAGGATTCGAGAAAGGGAGACTGAGAGGCTGGAGAGTTGAAACCAGCTGGTTGGTCACTGGGTCAAGGGACTCGAGATTCGAGAGATTGTGTAGGTAGAGCCTCCACAGCAGATCGATTGTGATAGGTGCAGAAAATGAATATCCATCTTGATTTGCTGGTTTGGGAAAAGATGAACAAGAAATCTGAAGAGGAGAACGAGCGGATCGGATGCAGTGCCTGTACGTAGTCTGAACCAAGGCGTACGTAGAAGGAAAAGGACAGGTCAGATCGCCGTAAACACGAGGTCGTAATGACGGATTGTTGTTGTGGTTGCTGTCAATTACCTGATCCAGAAGGCAACACACTGTTAGTATGTTAGGTAGTGTCTACGGTACCCATTCAATCCAGCTACATCTTCGATTCTCTCTACTATACAACTCATCTCCTATTTCCTGGTCCTCAAATTAGCAGAGACAGAATTTTCACTCGCATCTGACATCAATATCCGAACTTCCGATGTTTCCAGCCGCAGGCTAATCTAATTGGTTTAGATTAATTTTCCTGTTCATCCTCCGGAGATCATTCATCCTTCAGCCCCGTGAGAGCCCGCGATGTTACAGTTTAGGGGAAATGCAAGCGGCGCGACGACGACGGTCTATTGGCAACGCCACCACTACTGAGGAATGGGTGCGAATAGCTTTGCACACTACCGCATCCGCGCATTTCACGCGACGTCCATGGCGCAAATAAACAAATTCTAGAGTTTCGCCCCTCAAACCACCTTCGCAAGCGTCAATGATGGGGTCAACGTCCAGCCGCGCTAGGATGGTTCATTGTTTGGTTGAGTTGGGTCCTCTGGAACAGTCGTTGGTCGGGCTTGACCAGTGAGGTCCTTTCATACACTCTCGAATGGAAGGTATTTCGGTCTTTCAGGGGTGCCACAAGGGAAAATTTGCTGCGTTCCGAGCAGGCAGCAGGCAGCAAGTGTCAATGGGTCAGTTCATCAATCTGGTGGACTTGGCTGAGACGCCGACGCGTGCTCGAAAAAAGCCCTAAAGCGACTAAATACGTGCCAAGCCGATCGGGCCTGGTTTTTGACTTTCGCTTCTGGCCGAGAAGTGGAGATTTCACCTCGGCTCAGTCGGGAATGGCTGGAGTGAGGCGGCCGGTGGTTGGCGTTTCCGCTGCCAGGGTCAAAGGGGTGGATGGGTGATTGTGTGTTTACGTACCAGGCATTATGGGTGACGGTAGGTGCTGGTAACGTTACCGCGGGCAAGGCAGGGATGTTGATAGTCGTCGACTGCACGGTTGACGCACATGGATCTATATGTCAGATCATTATTGACATTGTTCCCTCCTCCTCCACTTTCCCAAGCTCTCATATCCACACCAACATCAACATCGCGAATCTTCATGGAGCACAACAAGAAGATGCCATCAACAAAACAGATCGTCGTTAATCACCCACCGTCCCCTCCTCGGCCAGCCGGAAACACGGGTCAATGGCCTAGCAGACAATTCGCTCCACTTCCCAAGGTTCAACCCGTGTCTCTCTCTCTCCATAATTTCTCGTGTCGTCCCTTCGTCGCTGGTTGGATATTCCCACACGACCCAAAGGTCCCAAACCTGTCAGGCTCCATCTGTCATGCCTGTTATGGAAATGGCACCTGTTGGTCCCCGTTTAACACCCCTCCATCGGGCCATGGCCGGACCAGCAACCAAAGAGGAGAGGGAAGCGGGCCTCGAGAGGAAGAGAAGTCCATGACCCAGCCGGTGGGATGAAAAGCCCACTGCGGTGGCCATTGCTGTCCATGGTTTCCCCAATCCTGCTCCCCTTTCTGAGAAACTGTGCCTTCGCAAGAACCACTGTTCATCTTTGCCTGCAGCCACTGCAGCCACTGCATCCATCGCACAGAACCTTAACCCACCGTGCACACAAATATAGCAGTCATGACTGGCGATCAGCTTCTTCGAGAACAGTCCAAGCTCTTCCAGCCCCTGGCCATCGCTAATGGCAAGATCCAACTCAGCCACCGAGTGGTGCATGCCCCTTTGACGCGCAACCGGGGCGAGCCTCTGAACCCGATCAGCACGCCTGAGAACCCCAATCGGATCTGGTATCCCGGACAATTGATAGTCGAGTACTATCGCCAACGCGCAACGCCAGGGGGGTTGATCATCTCCGAGGGCATCCCCCCATCGCTCGAGGTAATTAGATCCGACCCGAGCTGTTGCCTCTTTCGCCATGCGCATCGATGGCTGACCTCTTCGCCAGAGTAATGGCATGCCAGGTGTTCCCGGTCTCTTCACCGAGGAACAAGCCGCAGGATGGAAAGCTGTCGTGGAAGCTGTCCACGCCAAAGGCGGATACATTTACTGCCAGCTCTGGCACGCCGGCCGTGCCACAATCCCTCAGATGACTGGATCGCCCGCCGTCTGTCCCTCCGCCAGTGTCTGGGACTCGCCCACAGAATGTTATTCGCACCCCCCGGTGGGCTCGACCGAGCCAGTGCGCTACGCAGACCACCCACCCATCGAACTGAGCGTTCCCCACATCAAGCAGACCATTCGGGACTATTGCGAGGCCGCTAAGACTGCAATGGAGATCGGATTCGACGGCGTCGAGGTCCACGGTGGCAATGGATATCTTCCTGAGCAGTTTCTGAGCTCGAACATCAACAAGCGTACCGATGCGTACGGTGGCAGTCCCGAGAAGCGTTGTCAGTTCGTCCTCGAGCTGATGAATGAGCTCGCACAGACGGTCGGCGAAGAGAACCTTGCCATCCGTCTCTCGCCTTTCGGCCTCTTCAACCAGGCGCGCGGCGAGCAGCGCATGGAGACCTGGACATTCCTATGCGAATCGCTAAAACAAGCGCTGCCCAACCTATCATATGTCAGCTTCATTGAGCCGGTCAGCATCCCCTCTCTTTCTTTGCCTCTCCCTGAAGGCAGCAGACCCCTCTCGCGAAGAGCTCTCCAGCTAACTCTTACGTTATGAATACAGAGATACGAACAAATCTTCTCCGTGGCCGAGAAAGATACCTTCCTCCAAAGCTGGGGTCTCTCCGACGTCGACCTCTCCTCCTTCCGGAAAATCTTCGGCTCCACACCGTTCTTCTCCGCTGGCGGATGGGATCAGACCAATTCTTGGAATGTGCTTGAGTCCGGTCGCTACGACGCCCTGCTGTATGGCCGCTACTTCACGAGCAACCCGGACCTGGTAGAGAGGCTGTACAAGGGGATCCCCTTCACACCGTACGACCGCAGTCGATTCTATGGGCCCTTCGAGGACAACAGTGTCTGCTATGTGGACTATAAGCCTGCCCATGAGCAGGACGAGGCTGAGATCCGTGGAAGGCTGTGAGAGAGACTTATTCTCGACCGATCAGTCGTCTCCTCCGACCTCTCGCAAAGTGTATTGGTTTGTGCTTTGTAGCGTTTCATTAACGAAGAATGATCATGATTTGAATATAAGTTTTTTCGCCTTGATGTCGCCTTTGACGAGTCAACCTATGATAGATTCCTGACCACTTGAGGTTTGGGCTTCGAGTTAACTTACTAGGTACTGTAGGAGCGAAGTGTATGAGGGGAAGAACGCCAGGCCTTGGTCTGCGTTGGCAAGAACGTGACGTGTGGTCTGAGACACGTGCTCGACGCGTCCACCCCAGTACCTTACTATACCACCATACCATACTCTAGTTATCGAAAATCTCACCAAGAAAAACAAACAATTGAAGGTTGGTACTATGTAAGTATGCCCTCAAAACACGTGGCACGTAACCCAATTCCCGACAAACACCTCTCCAAATAAAAGCCCCCTTATCAATCAATCCATTCCCCCGGTCTCAGCTAGAAACACCACGATCATGCAATCCCAGGGCCCGCCTCCAGCACCGCATCCGCAATCCTTCCCACCCTCCGAAACACCACTAGATTAAAATACCACAAAATCAATCACCGAGTTTCCCCCGTTTTTTTCTCACGATCGGAGCCGGTATCCAGGGTCCGGTACAAGGTAAAAAAGCCCCTGACTCAGGTACATTCCGGAGTGTATGGGGTTTCGGATCTGTGAGAGGGGCGGAGAGTCAGATTATTTAATATATTTGGTACGGGGGGGGGGGGGCTGATTCATGTTTTCCATACTGGAAAGGGGGTCTCTAGTTTGAGTAAATTCAGGGTCACGATTTGGAGTAGTATAGTCTATTGATTGCAGTTTGAATTGCGGTATACATGAACCTTTCTTTGGTGGTTCGGGGTTTCCGGGGCAGGGGGTTGATTGTTGGTGCTTGTTCTTGGAGTTGCGCCGGTCGCGGTGGAGCGGGGGCTGGATACGGGGGTTTGTTGGATTCTCTGATGACAACTAGACTAACTGATCTACTTCCTTGACTACAGGCGAGGATTGAGGCTATGAGTGTTTGCTCTGCCGGATGGGGATATAGTCCTTGAGGGGGCATCAGCGACCGGAGCATCGGTCGGTAGGTCGGTCGGGACAAGAAATGAGACTGGGCTGAATCAAAAAGACTTGCGGCTAGGGACATCCACTATAACCAGAAATCCTCCATCGACCTTCGAATGGATCTCGCAAAGTGAAGAAACTCATACCTCATATAAAGCATCAGCATGAACAACAATAAGAACAACCAGAACTCAAAAAAATACCTCCCTCGGATCCAAGCCAGTGTCATACAATCCAACATGCAACCAACCACGAGGTCTTCCACTCATAATTCAAGAAACGGATATCAAAACCACCACGAACGAGCAAACTATATTCCACAAGGAATCAGCAACTTCCCTTCTCTTTCTCGTTACACTACACTCAGACTTACCCACTCACCTTCTGACAGTTTCTCAGTCAAACCCCCTCCGTCCCCGCATGAGCCTGCACCGGATAGAACACCGGCTCGGGCCTCTTCATCGTCGAGTCGTCGGCGGTCGTTTGATGGTAGTACGGCGACTGCCCGTACTGCGCCGCCACCGCCTGCTGCGTCTGATACTGCACGTATTGCTGCTGTTGCTGAAACTGCTGGGCGCGGATCGCATCCTCCTTCTTCTCGCGCTTGCGGTCCCGTCGATACTTGATGAGGAAGTAAATGACGCATCCGACGAAGATGCAGAAGAGGATGGGAATGATGATGACCTTGCCGATGATCTTGGCGACGCCCATGATGTGGACTTGTCCCAGGTGCTGTCCCGGGTTGGTCGGGTACAGATGGCTTTAAAGGATGTTTATATGGATCTGATGATTAAAATGGCTGACGTGCGCAGAGGCTCGGAGTTGTGCTTGTGCTCAGAGTTAGAGATGCATCCGCTCGGTCGGGGACACTGGTTATATCTCCTTTCCCTTGAGTCACCTCCAACTTCCATCGTTAGGCAATCATATTCTGGAGGCCTGGCAGGGATGGCTCTGGAGTCCGCCAACGAGATCGCATGCTAGTCTTGCTGCTGGGCGCTATACTCCAGGGTGTGATTCGACAGGTTCGATGTGGGTGAGGAGTGAGGGGGGCCAGACATCGACTATGCGGGCGATGGCTGATACATCACAGACGAGGCTCGTCACCTGCATATGAGACGTGTTGTGATCCCAGTGATAAAGCTTAGCTGGGGGTGAATTGGGAAGATCCTGAGTGCAAGAGGTGAGCGGTTTTCATGTCGGACCAATCGTGGGGGTCAGCTTGCCGCCGCGGGAGGGACAGCCCATGCAGAATAAAACCCATAGGGCTGTAGGGCCACGAATGCTAGTTGAGACAGACTGTGATAACCGTGACAAGCAATATTGGTGTCTGCCTGGATCATGGTCGGGCGGTTATGGAAAGAACTTGGAAGAGAGCTTGTCGCCAGTGTGGAGGCCGGATATTGGCTCGTGGAGATTTCCTTGTACAGGAGACAGAGGTCGTTCCTGCTATGCAATCAGAACACTCAAGCGAGAATCTATATTTGTACAACAGGCGATCCGTCCATGATAACAGGCAAAGACCGAAGACTGAAATTGAGAATCAGAATAGTTTCGTTAGTGCGCGACGGTCCCCCCTAGACACAATGGCGTGCATAACACCGTTCAGTATTCTGGAACGACTTAAAAGAGACTGATGGGATAAGTCGACCCCCATAGCACTCTTTAACAAAGGCAGAGCAATGAGGACCCAATAGTCGCAAATTTCCATCGCTTGCCCCAGGAAGTAATCGGCAGCGACCAGGGCGGCCGTGGAGTCCGCGGGCTCCGCGGAGAACACGGAGGGCACGGAGAGAACGGAAAGCACGGAAAGCAAGCTCACAGTCAAGGACTATGGAAATGGTAGTTAATGATTGTGTATAAATCTCAGGGGCTATTCTTGCCTTAAGCCCTGGTCGAATTATCACAAGCATCAAAATGTCCGCGACCGGTACTGCTGTTAGGTTCGTGCCATTCATTCATCCGAGCCGAATGAACGGTATAGTGACTGACACTCACGGGTTACAGCCAACAGCCCGAAATCCATCGAGCTCGTCAAAGAACAGAACAATTCAAGTCGACCAGCAGTTCCAATGAGGATGAATCGATCACTTTCGAATTCGGAGGTGCTCCAGGAGTTGCGCTTCTCATGATTGGCTTTCCACTCCTCATGTACTATATGTACATCGGGGCGACGTTCTATAACGGCCAACTTCCCTTGCCGAACCCCGAAGAATCACTTGCTGAATTTGGATCACATCTCTTCGACCTCGCCTACACACATGCCTTCCCTCATCGCAAAGCTTGGGCCATATACTGGACGTTTCTCGTGTTGGAAGGACTCGGATACATCTATCTGCCCGGTGTATATGGCAAGGGAAAGTGCCTGCCACACCTAAATGGCAAGCAACTCGATTATTATTGTTCAGCAGCCGCCTCCTGGTACGTCACCATCGTGGCTGCGCTGGCCTTGCATTTCACAGGGCTTTTCCCATTGACCACCCTCATCACCGAATTTGGTCCCCTAATGTCCGTCGCCATTTGCTCGGGGTTTCTGATTTCTATCGTCGCGTATGCCTCCGCCCTAATGAGGGGATGCCAGCATCGGATGACAGGATCGCATGTCTATGACTTCTTTATGGGAGCGGAGCTTAATCCCCGTTTGTTCCGATGGATTGACATGAAGATGTTCTTCGAGGTTCGCATTCCGTGGTACATACTGTTTTTGTTGACCTTGGGCACGGCATTGAAACAATGGGAAGAGCTCGGGTTCGTCTCGGGCGAGGTCGCTTTCCTGCTCATGGCACATTTCTTGTACGCGAATGCTTGTGCGAAAGGCGAAGAGCTGATCATCACTAGCTGGTAGGTGTTTCCAGAAGCTTCAGTACGGGCTGGGCTGATCGAGGCTAGGGACATGTATTATGAGAAATGGGGCTTCATGCTCATTTTCTGGAACCTCGCTGGTGTTCCTATGAGCTACTGTCATTGCACCCTGTATCTGGCGAACCACGACCCATCGATATATCGGTGGAATCCATCGATTGTGGCTGCTTGGGCTGCTCTATATCTGTTCATGTACTGGGTATGGGACACATGCAACAGTCAAAAGAACATCTTTCGTGCTCAAGAGAGAGGTGTCTCTGTGACGCGCAGAACATTCCCTCAGCTTCCATGGAGGGCTGTGAAGAACCCGGAGTCGATTCCAACCAAGACTGGAGACTCTATCTTGTGCAGCGGTTGGTGTAAGTCAATTCAACTACCGATTAATTTCGGAATGATGGCTGATATATAGCAGATGGAATGGCCCGAAAAGTGCATTATACCTGTGACTGGTTTTTTGCCTTTTCATGGGGACTGATCACCGGTTTCAACTCACCATTCCCCTGGTTTTACTCCGTATTCTTCACCGTCATGATTATCCACCGTGCTCGTCGCGATATCGAACGCTGCCGGGAGAGATATGGAGAAGCATGGCGCGAGTACGAACGACGGGTTCCGTATTTGTTCATCCCAGTAAGTTGTTCCCACCCACTAAATGTTGACCTCCGACTGACAGCACAATAGTATGTCTTCTGAAGGGTGATTCCAGGATGAAGGAGAAAGGCGTCGAAGACGCGACCGTGGCGTGTGGACGCATATGTATAATAAGTCACATCTGAATATTTTAACTCATGTAATCTGAATTCAAGATATCCATCACCGATCGATTGGCGCCAATGAAGTCGTTCAAGAACATGGAAATGTCGGTCTGGCTCATAAGAGAATCAAAGGTGTTTTCTGGCCAGGAGACATCTGGGAAAGCAATGTTGGCCGCCCCGTGCGCGGCAGGCATGACAAGTGACCCATCCTGGTGACGCTCGATGCCGGACAATGTTTGTCGCGATTTGACTAGAACCTGAGCAGCCTTGACAAATGCTTCGCACACTGTATATAGATGCATTGAACCCCGCGATAGACCCTTGATGAGCTCCAAAGAGCTCACAGTGTCCTGCAGAAGGGCTAGATCCACCGCACTTGCGGTGGTAATTGCGTGGGTGAACACAATGACAAAAGGTGTAAAGGAAGGGTAGAGCAATATCCTATACCTGGTAAGTCGAAATTGGCTTCTTAGGTATTAGAGAACGTACCAATTCACGTATTCAGTCTGTTTGTGGGTTTGCCGGCCGCGGAAATATGTAAAGCATTTGAGGTGACTGTGAAGCGCTAACGTAGCGATCTCATAGCATCGCGATGAGATTGCCATGGCATCTCCTGGCCGAGTCTGGGCCCGATAGATGACAGTCAACACGGAGTAAGCGATGAAATCAGCACAAGCCGCAATGCCGTGCAGGGAGTCAGCATAAAGACCCAAGCTTACGTCGATCTGTGGGCAGTGTTAGATATCAATCTTAACAAGACGGAGGCAAGGTTTTACCGTCAGCAATTTATCTCGAACCGCCTCTAAGTCTGAGGAAAGCTTTTCTATCGCTACAGCTCTCTGCTCATCGCCGGCCCGACAAGCAGACGTTGAGTAAAGTTGATCATAGACCTTCCCTTGAATACTAGCAAACTCCATGCGAACAATACTCATCAAATCCCATGGACGTTGCTTTGGGTCTTCTGATGGCATGAAGAGGTCGGCATCAATATCATGGTCTTGAAAGTGGGACGTCAGGCCGATGTTCAGAGAGATGTTCTTGTCAATCGTATATAGTGCCCAGAAGGCATGACGTTTAGCCTCTGCAATGGGTAGTGGGTCGTTTTTCAATGCTGTACGCCGATGTAGTCCCATGGTTTGGCACATATTGAAAGCTAACGATAAATATGTCCAGCACCGCTGAATGTCAAATTCCTCTTGTGATTTTGTTATCTGTGCCAGTTAGACCAAGTCACGCATGAGAATTGAGCTACTCACTCCAATCAGCAGTGCTTGTATCTTCTCCAAGGTTGGCTCAACCATGATGGCGGGTTCTCGGAGACCTGAGTCAAGCTGTTTTTCACATGTTTCCAGTGCTGATGATAAGTCATAATGCGCGAGGTCAGGGTCCTGTGCATGAAAATAGTCGCGTATTATGTAAAAGAAGAGCCCGTAGAACAGTGTATATGTTCCAGCAGGAACTGGATCGAGTGGAAAGTATATGGAGTGACAAAGAGTCTCTATACGAGATGCATCGATCCAAGACTGACTGACCAACGTGAACGGAGGTTGCGCTAACCTGCGTCAATTGCCAACCACGGGGAAGGAAGGAGGTACGAACAAACCTTTGACTTTCTTTACCACAGCGATGACCAACTCTACAGGAAGTAGTTGGTTTTTTGGCTGAGTGTTGGGCTGCGTCTCCCCATGCGTTACTGATGCGCGATGCCTATCGAGGCTGGTTTTGAGAGACGAAAGTGCTGCTGACACGTAGTCGCCCAATTGTCCATTCTGAGAAGTGTCCACAGCAGAATAGGCAGCATCCCTAGCTACGAGGGTTTCATGATGGAAAGATGAGTGACCTTCGAATGGAGGTATCGTCGGTCCCGACGGAGTCGGTTCCCGGGCCGGCTTGACCGGGCTCGATGAGCCGGAAGACCGTGTTATGTTCTCGAGCGTCTTCTGAATTGTGGCAAGCTGTTCCTGCAACGTAGAGAACCGGTGTTCACTATGAGACATGTCAGCTTAGGCTGTCCATATTGAGCTTATAGCTTCATACTAGTCATTTGGTATATTGGTGCGAGGCGACTCCGAAGCAGTCGATTGTCCCCCAACTGGTCTGCACGGTATCCCCAGCGTGCCACAGCTGGAACAGGGACTAGTCTTGTCGCATTTGATCTATTGTGCTGCTGTCAGGGATGTGCCATAAGTCTCATCTGTTTCAAGAGGAATATACCTTGCGAATACGACAATTGTCGCACTATGAACGGTCAATTGCTATTTCACTTGTATTGAGCAGCGGGACGAGGATGCATACCGCGCGGGCCCGAAAGCTGCGAGCAGTTGTGGGAGTGCTAGCAGCCATACTCACAACAAATGGCTGATGTTCCTTCAAGTGCTCGTGCAGCCCAGTACAGTCTTCGGGCAAGCATGAGATTATATTTCTGGTTGCACAGAACAATTCCTGATTGACTTGCTAGTGTTGATGATATTAGATCTTTGGTGGTGGAAGGAAAGATCACGCTATACCTGATATGAATATCCAAGTCACGTGCATATTGTGAGCCATACCGGACTAGCGCGATTCTGAGCGCTGTCTTGTAAATTGCCTAAAATGGGCGATCGCCTGTTCTTCCACCATGTTGCATCACAACTCCGGAGATTCTCCGTGGCAGACACGCTGCATGTCGGCTAACCAGTGATGCACAACATGTTTCTCGGCAAAATTGGCTAAGTTTCCCTTTCAAACATCGTTCACGGTTTTCCTGATTGTATTCCAATTCTCATTATACTTGCTGAAACTTTGCTGACTATGAACGTAGCTGGTAGCTCACTAAGGCAGCGCTATCTTCAGCCATGAGCTCAGTAAGCCCACAACTAAGCAACATGGCTGACATCTACTCGGCTTCATCGGGTAACTTAGTCGGCGATAACAGCCTGAATGCAGCATTTAGCATGAGGTCACTTCCCCATGCTTGTGGTCCGATAATGCGGGGAGAGGAGACGAGTACTAGTTGATCATCATATATGAATGGCAAAGATGCTTGACTGTGCCTTCAAGCTGTCTTCAACGCATTGCTTCCAAATTGGATGATACAATGATCCAGTTTGGCTTCGCGTTTTCATTATTGGGCCTTTTACTGCCCCTGGCTGCGGCAGAGGATGGGTTCGCTGGCTGGTTGCGGTTTGCTCCGGTACCCTGTGATTCTTCTTGCCTGCAGGGTCTACCTTCACACATTACTCTATTCAATGGCATTGAAGGAAGCCCAATTGCAACAGCAGGCGCTGAGTTGAACTCCGGATTCCAGTCGATCTTCTCGAAAGACCTGTCAACCACGCAATCACGCTGTGACACATCATCCTCAGTCTTGGTTGCGACACTTGACGAATTCCGGCATAAATGCAACGCCACTATTGGCATTCCAGAACTCGATCAGGATGGGTTTTGGTTGCGATCGGCTGGCAAATCTGTCCAAATCTTGGGGCAGAGCGAGCGAGGGGCATTATATGGAGCATACGAGTACCTTTCCCTGCTAGCCCAGGGAAACTTCTCCCATGTCGCCTATGCAAGCAATCCTCATGCGCCAATACGTTGGGTCAATCAGTGGGACAACATGGATGGCTCGATTGAGAGAGGTTTCGGCGGATCGTCGATTTTCTTCAAGAACGGTCGGGTCGTTGATGACCTGGCACTAGTCAAGCAATATGCTCGCCTCCTTGCGTCGACGCGGATCAATGGTTTGATCGTCAATAACGTCAATGCGAATGCAACTCTACTGTCATCTGAAAACATGAAGGGACTTGCTCGGATTGCAGATGTATGTCGACCTTACGGTGTCCAGATCGGCGTATCGCTCAACTTCGCATCTCCCGAAACACTCGGCGGCTTAGACACCTTCGATCCACTCAACGCAAACGTTGTTGCCTGGTGGAATAATATCACAAACAGCTTATATGATCATGTTCCCGATCTGGCAGGGTATCTAGTCAAGGCTGACTCCGAAGGTCAGCCCGGCCCCAACACATACAATCGGACGTTGTCGCAAGGTGCAAATCTTTTCGCACGAGCTCTTCAGCCGCACGGGGGAATTCTTATGTACCGGGCCTTCGTCTACGACAGTAACTTGAATGAGTCAGATTGGAAGGCAGACCGAGCCAAGGCAGCAGTCCAGTACTTTAAAGACCTGGATGGCGAGTTTGAGGAGAATGTGGTTGTGCAAATCAAATACGGGCCCATCGATTTCCAAGTGCGCGAGCCCGTATCGCCTCTTTTCGCCAACCTGTTCCAGACCAATACTGCTATTGAGCTTCAGGTCAGCCAGGAGTATCTGGGTCAGCAGAATCACCTCGTCTACCTTCCACCCCTGTGGAAGACTATTCTCGACTTTGACCTTCGAGTTGATCACAAACCCTCCCGCGTCCGGGACATTATATCTGGAGAACGATTCAATCGCACCCTTAGCGGCTGGGCGGCTGTCGTGAATGTTGGCACCAATACAACATGGTTAGGTAGCCACATTGCCATGTCAAATCTATACGCATATGGTCGACTTGCATGGAGTCCGAAAGATGATTCGGAGGGTATCTTGCAAGACTGGATCCGGCTTACCTTCGGATCACACCCTCAAATTATCAATACCATTACCAACATCTCAATGGCCTCTTGGCCAGCCTACGAGAACTACAGTGGAAACCTAGGCATTCAAACCCTGACAGACATTCTTTACACCCACTACGGCCCAAACCCGGCCTCTCAAGACAACAACGGATGGGGTCAGTGGACTCGAGCAGACCACGAGTCCGTAGGGATGGATCGAACCGTCGGGAACGGAACCGGCTACACAGGTCAATACCCTACAGAGATTGCTCAACGATATGAGTACCTCAATTCCACTCCCGATGATCTAGTTCTATGGTTCCACCATGTCCCCTGGACGCACCGGCTTCACTCCGGCAAGACTGTCATCCAGCATTTTTACGATGCCCACTATGCCGGTGCCGAAACTGCGCAGACCTTCGTCACACAGTGGAAATCCCTACACCACCTGATTGACAAGGAAAGATACGACGCCGTACTTGACCGACTCATATACCAAGCCGGGCACTCCATCGTCTGGCGGGATGCCATCAACAACTTCTATTTTAACCTTACGGACATCCCTGACCAGAAGAGACGGGTGGGCCATCATTCTTGGCGTATCGAGGCGGAGAGCATGATGCTGGACGGATACAAACCGTACACAGTCAGTCCGTTCGAGACGGCCTCGAATGTAACGGCCATTGTGACCACATCGAATTCAACGACCGGGACAGCGCAGACTACGCTCAACTTTCCAGCGGGGACGTACGACATAGGCGTCAACTACTATGATCTATACGGTGGCGAGTCGCACTGGACACTGAGTCTCAATGACAAAGTCGTGGGCGAATGGGTAGGCAACTTCCGCAATCACTCGCTGGGTAATTCTGTCTCCATCTACTTGGATGGTCACTCGGCGACACGGATTACATTTCAAGGAGTCAAGGTCCAGAAGGGGGATGAGTTGAAAATTGTCGGACGGCCGGATGGCGTTGAGCCTGCGCCAGTGGATTACGTAGTGGTACTTCCAGCCGGAGTGGTGGATTAGGTGGGAGTGTACATATATCGATGTCTCTCGCCCTGATAGCGCAGAAGATCAACTCTGTAGACATTATTCTCAATCGCATACCATTTCCAACCCCTCTACTACGGACCGAACCTCCCAAAATGCCACCTTCCTGGCATAGATCGAAAACGGGTGAAAAGAAATCATATCATTCGCTTCATAACTCAAACAAAATCCCTAAACCTAGGCTAGCTACTTATTTAGCATCAGCGATCTTCTTCCAGCTCTCGCGGGCCTTCAGCTCCTCCCACCACTTCTGGGTATGCGGGTACTTGGGCAGGAGCTCGGCGAAGCCGAACGGCTCGACGAAGGCGCCGTACGGGAGGTGGTACAGGTCCGCCAGGGTCACGCTGTCACCAGCCAGGTACTTCTGCTTGGACAGGATGCGCTCGTAGCCCTGCAGGGCGGCGTCCAGCTGGGCGACCAGCGCCTGCACGCGGCCCTCGTCCGTCTGGCCCAGACCCTTGAACGCCTTGAAGACCTTCTCGAATGCGATGCCAGACACGGCGGGGTCGAAGTAGGATTGTTCGACGGAGAGAGCCTGCGTTTGCAGATGTGTGGGTTAGGGTCCAGCTGTTGTGTTGGGGGAGGGGCAGGGTATGGGTGAGCCACGTACCTGCTGGTACAGAGCGAAGGCCTTCAGGTCCGACTCGGGGGGGGAGACTTCGTTGCCCTGGCCGCGGTACTTGGAGGCGATATACTGGCCGATGGCTCTGCTTTCTGTAGTGGGAGAGAGAGTGTGTGTTAGAGCTGGCAATGCGGGGAGCGAGAGTGATTGGGGGGGAGCAAACGTACCGAAGATCTTGACTCCGGTCTCGGTGTCCTCGAGCGCGGGGACCTTGCCGAAGGGCTGAAGGTTCGCAAGGTAGGCCTCGGACTTGTGCTCGCCCTTGGCGAAGTCGATGGGGACGAACTCGTGGTCGACGCCCTTCTCATTGAGGACAACCTGCACACGCTTGGTGCAGGTCGACATGGCGAGGCCGTGGAGCTTGAGGACCATTTTGGCGGGTCGTGAAGAGATGAAGTGAAGGTGATGTATGAGGGAGGAGACTGAGAGATTGAGATGAAGGGATAGTGACAGTGATAGTGAGCGAGAAGTGAGAGACAAGGATGAGTACACGTAAGGTATATATGCGCAGACACGAGCAATGGCGGGGTCGAATGGATGCAATCGATGCAATCAATGCAATCATGGGTGGGTCCTGAAAACTGGGGCCCGCTTACGAGATTCCAAGGGGAGAAGGCGGAATTTCTTCCGCGTCGCCCGAATAAGCATTAGCAATCATCCTCGCTGATCACAAATCCACTTTCAGCTTGGAAACAACAAGAATCGTTGTCTCAGATGGGGAGATGGGAAGTATTTGCTGCATACAAGGTACACCGTATCGGAGTATATAATATCTGCAAAGAAGGTTTCACAGCGCTAGCGGGCTAAGCCTGGAGGATTGCACTACTGTTGTCCGGCATGAACTGGCATGGTTGCGACAATCAGGGTGAAATGAGCCAATCTGGACCCAATCATGGTACATGAAGTGAAGCAGTAGTCACCGGGGCTGCGGTAAGCTCTGGCTAGATCGAGACAAGCATCTGGGTTCCCCCTGGATCCAAGTTCAAATGGACAAATGAGCATTGTTCGGAAGTCGGCTGGGAGATAAAGGTTGCCACGGGAGCTCATCTTGTTAATATACTTGTAGATTGGGCCTATCAACGGATTATAGAAAATGACAGCGCCAAAGAGACTGTGCCTATTGTGCCTACGAGTATGATGATCATGTTGCAATACTTTCCTAAGTGACAAGCTCCATTACCTCGAAACACTTTGTTGGCTCAGAACCGTAGGCTTCTGCAGCCGGGCGAATGAAGTAGTTTAAGAAGCCAATTGACTTAACACACATGGTTCATCCGACTGCATTTTACTACCCTGAATACTGATCATATCTCTCATCCCGTCGTCTGAGCTTCTACCTCAGTATCATTCAAGCTTTACCCTCTTGCTACCGTGCGTATTCAGAAACAGCACATACGCATTGACTACAGTCATTCATCTTTTGATACTTTATCCTTGAGTGATCTGCGATACACTGCAAGCAGCCAAATTATTTCTTTTTGCTTGTCCCGTCCGATCGCCTGACCTTGCCAGTGAAGCTTAAATTAACAATCCTAGACTTCTAGACCATCTGTTACAATGGAGGCTCAGGGGCGCAGTCCGGACCTCCGTCGTACCGGACCAGCCGATTCATCATCATCACAGTCACCACCTCCAGTTCTTACCAAGGAAACAGGCCAAGAAAGTCCTACGACTACGCGCAAGTCGCAGGGGAAGACCCGATATCCGTTACTAGAGGCGGATCCGGATACGGCCGCCAAGCTGAAGCGTTTCGCGCAGCGGCAGTTCATAGCAGGCCTCGACAACTCACGCTTGGAGTGGCCGGTGAAAGAGGCAATTCCGGAGATCAGTCCAGGCCAACTTCATAAGGAGGCAGTCGAGCGGGCCCGCAACTGGTACTCGATCTGGAAGAGCCACAGTCTGATACATGCACCCAAATGCTATGAACGCTGGGTTCTGTCCCAGCCAGAGCACGAGCGAGAGAGACTCGCACAGTGTGCAGATTTCAAGGAGCTACGTTGTGTCCTGAATGCCGCATACGATGTAGAATGGACCTCATACATCTTATCTTGGGCTACAAAAGTCGTCTCGTTCTAAGACTGCTCTGCACTGGGGCAAGAATTCCTCAAGTGTAAGTCGGCCACTTCACGCTGACTTTTGATGGCTGCGCTCATCCATATAGATTGTACGATACAGCTGATGGTCCGCGCTCACTTAACTGCTCTCCGACAAAAGTCCACAAGTCCTTCCCCGGAGTTAGCCAAGTTCGACCGGCAGTACTTACTCGCGTCGTTTGACGGTCTCTACACACACGAGAAATGGAGAAACTTGACTGTGGAGGACTTCCCATTCCGCTCTGTGCCAGCCTTGCGAAAGCGGGCATGCCCGAAGCGAGTTGATATGAATGCTGATAGTGATGGCGATATTGGAACCGAGGGTGAACATCCTAGGACGAAGGCATCGACACACAGTTCTCCGGATTAGGTCCGTTAGATGTTCACCGGCCCGGCCTGCTGGTGAGATATTTGTTCTGGTGGTGTTGAAGGCTTGAATGGCATTTCTCGAGGGGCATTTCACAGAATCTAGTGTAGGCTGGCGGATACTTACTATTTTGACACTCAGGACGGATCTGGAGAGAGGCGCAGAACATAAGGGTAGACTGATCCTTTGCTGGCTGCGTCGGGTAGACCACTTTCCGACAGCACCATTACTTACAGCAGTCTAACTTTTCTTTATCCACTGACATCTTGATCTCCTTCTTGCTTCTGCTTTTGAGCCAACGAGATATGAGTGAAGTCATTAGCGTCATCCCAAGGTGTACTCCATTGGGAATTGTTATTTCTCTGCAGGGAGGTTTCGTCGAGTCTGACTGTAAGAGCTCTGCTTATGCATCTACCCCGCGGAATTGGTAAGCGGGAGTCTCTTGCGTGCTTGGCGCATGCTAAAGTCCTTATCATTTGTATCCAGCCACCAAAGACACTCCCTAGTTTCTTACAATAAGCAGTAAGCCGTTTCGGGACTTGGTTGAGCGATTCTGATTGCTAATGCATGCTACAGAGGCTTTTGACCTCTGAACTTGGGGAAGAGAGATGAGCCAATTCCCATCCCCGTCCCCGGTTTCGAACCGGGAAACTGCACCATGGCTTTAGCGAATACGGAACCTATCCATAGAAAGTGAACTTTGAGTTAATCTGAACGTCCGCATTCATCATCTCTCAGAGAGACCCCGGAGAGCCCGCTGTATAAGCAAGCTCGTATCAATCTTTCTTTGACTTTCTGTTGCTAATACTCGACAGGGTCTCATGCAGTGATCGTATTTGTAATGCCCCCTCACCAACCACCGCAATGATGAGATAAATACCGGTCAGATCTCGCAATCGAGCCCGCCGGTTTGATACATCAGTTTATCAGACAAACCAGACCCACTTTGAATTGATTCCCCAAAGTCAACACCATGACCACCACCGCAGCCCCAGTCGTCCTCATTCTCGGTGCCGGCCGCAACATCGGCCAGCACACAGCCCAGCACTTCGCAGCGAAGGGCTACCGAGTCGCCCTCACGGCTCGAAACGTCAACCCCGATGACAGTACTGAAACCCAGCTCCATATCCAATGTGACCTTGCCGACCCCCAGGCCGTCCATGACGTCTTCTCGCGCGTGAAGACCACCCTGGGGGTTCCGAGCGTGGTCATCTACAATGGTATGTTCTCCGGTCTCCAGCCAACTTCTCCGCAATCTATACCAGAAAGCTATTAACCTTTGGTGTGGGAACAACTAGCCTACGGCTTGACCCCAACGGACGCCGACGACGTTTTCAAGATCACCACCGAGCAATTTACCCGTGATCTGAACGTCAACACCACCAGTGTTTTTGTCGCCGCCAAGCTGGCTGTCGAGGGATTCGAGACCCTGCCTACCTCCGCAGCACGGACGTTCCTGTACACGGGGAACGCACTGAACACGGTTGCCGTGCCTCCGCTCTTCACGTTGGGGGTAGGGAAGACGGCCACTGCGCATATGATCGAGTGTGCGGCGATCGCGTACCGGGAGAAGGGATACAAGTGAGTTTTCTTGTTGTTTCCAACCTGATTTGGAATTTTTGGTACCGTGGGCTTTCGTCACTGACCCGAGTCAAGGTTCTACTTCGTCGACGAGCGGAGAGCGGACGGGTCATCTTCAGGCGACATCGACGGCGCGGCACACGCGCAGCTCTTCGCGGAGCTGGCCGAGAACAAGGAGCAACAACCGTGGCAGCAGACCTTCGTCAAGGGCGAGGGGCACAAGGTGTTTGGAAAAGGGTTTCTGGGCAACTAACTGACTTGGCTGTCTATCAGTTCCATTCGTAGTACCATTCTATCTCGTCCCATAATCTATATAAAGACTGATCATAATGCAATCACACTCATCCAGCCCCCTCCAAGCTTCATCCCACGAGATTTTTTAAAAAAAAAAAAATCACCCCAAAATCTCCCCCAAATCCCTCCCCTCGCCTCCAACGACCGCCCGTCCACGATAATCCGTCGGCACGGCCTGCGACGCAAAGGCCAGAAACACCGCCTCCCACCGCCCATCGGGGAACCGAAACACCAACGCGCCATCCTTGAAGACGGCGTCCTCGTACGCCTTCCGACTCCCTTGGTTCATATGCACGTCGTGGATGCCCGTCCCGAACGAGCTCCCGAACACATACGCCGTCGCGCGCCGGTGGATCGCCTCCTTGAGGATGGGCGCCAGCTCATCCAGCATATCGTTATCGCTGCCGGGGATGTCGTGCGGGAGGAGGCGGCCGGCCTCGATATCCACCAACCTCGGGGTGGTGCGCAGGTAGTCCAGCCCGACGAGGGTGGGGTGGTGCTGCTGGTGGCGGTAGGGGAGCTCGCGCTCGTCGTCGTCGTCGGCGTTGTCCGGGTGCGGTTTTATGCGGTGGAAGCCCGGGGCCAGGCTGGTGAGCTCGTGAACGAGCGGGTGGTGAGTGAAGTCGCGGACGAACCAGAAGACGAGGCGCGTGTCGTGCTGGGTGGATTTCACGTTGATGGCGACTTGGACTTCGGAGGCGCTGTGGTGGTCGTGTTCGCGGTCGTCGTCAGGGTTGGAGGGGCCGTCGCGTAAGAACAGGTTGATGTGGGGGGTCGTGTGGTCTTGGTGGGCGTTTTGCGCGTGGAAGCGGTGCGGGTGGCCGACCCAGACGCCGTAGTTGGGGATGGGCATTATGGCGGGATGTTCTTTGAGTGTGGCTGTTTGTTTGGGCGGTAAGCCAGAGGCTGGTGGATGGCTTGGGGGTGTTTGTATTTGAGTCTAATATTCTACAGGGCTTCTGGAAGGGGGCAGTGGACTGATTACTGTATTTATTTGTGGAATTGACAATGCTTCGGGGAGTGAGGCTATTGACATGCTCGAAAAAAAGGAGAGAGTGGAGAATCGCGATGGAGCTACTAGTGTGACACCAGGGTGGATCCGATGGGGACGATCGTCGATATCTAAAAAAGGATTGTTTAGTGGAGAAGGTCAGACCCGGAGAGAGATAGCTCTCGTTTGGGAGGCTGTTTGGGAGGCTATGAATATTGGTGAGTATTGTGTATATGATGCCCAATTGCCATCGATGCTAGCGAAGCGGACAATACACCCCGACTATTCTGCCTCAGGTATGGGATGCATGTCGAACATCCTCTCGAGGGCATCTAGGTAGTTCTTTCGTAAGGCGAGGAGTCTTTGGAAGTTGACTGAGGACAGTATTGTCTGCCAGTCTGGTTGCTGGATAGCTGACAGACTCTTCGTAATCCAGAACTTCAACTTGTCTTAGATTCACTGTGGATTGTTCTTTCTCAACTCTTCTTGTCAAAGGCAAGCAAGTATATTTCGTCCTCTACCTAACACTAACTATGTGATGGAAGTGTCAACGCTCAACCGCTCTTGCAATCGATCTCAAGATCAACTTCCGCTCTGTCTCTGCTCCCGTATCTTGTTCATCGTGTTCAAATTCCAGAGTGACCGCGTCGACTGCCTTGCATCGAAGATCGCTTAGCTCTGATCCGATCGCAATTGGCATATCACCACGGCTGACCATATTGAAGATCCACCACAAGGTCCCTCGAAGGCGATCACTCAGGTCGGGCATCCGCAGTCGTGCCCGATTGACAAAAAGATACTTGATGGGGACTTCCTGATTCAATTTCTTCAGCATTTGGTATTGATCATTTCTAAGAAAGTCACGCAAGCCTCGCGAAGTCCTTAGCCCTTCAAGGTCTAGTTGCAAGGGCCTCGGATCATACACGAAGAGATGTTGTGGCTTGCCAGGGTCGGACGCCGTCGTATTCAATGGACCAGCCTCACGAACGGAAGCAATTGCCCACCAGTGCCAAGCTGTACCATAATGCCGGCCTTGCTTGGTAGCAAAAAGGGCTGCGTAATATGGACGAGTTTGCGTTGCGGCGAAATCGCTCACCATCATACTGGAATCACTCTCTTGAGGGGTGAGTGCCTTCTGGTGGTAGAAGTCGTCCACTACTGGTTTAGCGAGTAACTCAAAGTGGGCGCTAGTGTCACCTGGGATTTTTCCTGCAAGCTCAGTCATGGCATCGAATGCGCCTTTCAGATTTAACCCCTGGCTTGCGTCCCTCAACCAAGTAGGTAGGTCATCGTAGTTTAGCCCTCCATCTCGGCGGTCAATCCACCCCCAGATGTACTCGCGAGAAGGGGGATTCGATTCTGCAGGAGGAAGTTGGCCCGTCGATGCCAAAGGCCTTGCGGATACGTTCGGCAGGTCTGCTTCTTGAGGCTGTCCTAATGGGTCTCCTCTCAGGAAGACTCTTGGCGGGGAGATCCTTCTGTGGAAGATCCTTTCCGGCAAGATCCTTCTCGGCAAGATATTGCTCATCCACCTAAGCCATTGGACCTGCCATTGGGCCCGCCTCTGGACCTGCCGCTTGATCTGAATCCGCCGCCGGTTCTGAGCCTGCGGCGCTTCCTGACTCAGTCTATTATCTTCAGCCTGCGTCGAACTGTCTTGTTGCGTTGAAGCTTCTGACAATATCGTCGGCTGAGCTGTTGTGATCGCATCTGGGTTCGCCGAGGGGTTCGAAGGCTGCGGTGCATTCGAAGGCTGCGGTGGGTACCCAGACTGATCTGGGCCCTGAGGATTCGGTGTATTCCAAGGGTGCGGTGGGTTTCCAGACTGCAGTGGGCCCACAGGCTGAGTCCTGTCCCAACACGGCGGTGGCCTCCAATTCTGCGATGCATCGTGAGCTTGTGCTTGGTCGGTAAAGGCAGAAGGGTACCTACACTAGCCATGGCTAACAACGTGGTAACGATAGATGTAGGTTCTATTGTGGAAGAATAAGTGTGTTTGGTGTATTAAAATGAGGTATGAGGAGACAGATGCAGGAGAGGTCAAGACCTGGAGGAGCGAGAAAAGGGCCTTACAGCTAGAGGGAAAGCGACTGCCTACTTGAAAAGCAGTCATCCATGCTGTAACTGGAAGGAAGTCAGCGAGACGTTCCAATGAGCACCTTCTCTAGCAAGGCAGGAAGGCTTCATCTTCTCTGCAAGACTGAGAGGGTTCCCATATTGGCGAATGGAGGACGCAGATGTAGAGTTTCCATCATTTGTTGAGCGCATAATTTCAACCTCGGTTCCAGCAACCAAGATGGCAGACAATCCTATTCTCAGCCAGGGCTCAGCCCGCTTCGCATCTCTGATTCTCTACACAGTTGCGCCTTTCATAACAAATGAACCCAGTAGGAGGAAACCTCGTAAGTATCGTAGATCGCCGGCTCCTCCGCCCTCAGCGCCGCAAACACTTCCCCCATCATCACCATCCGACTCAGGAGATACAACGCCGGAGAAGACAGGCTCACGATAGTCACAATCCCCTCCCATCGGAGCACCACTTTCTCGAAGTGCATGAACACCAGCATGGACCCCATGGACACGAATGCCGCGATACGCCACAGCCACAACTCCACCGTGGTGGGGAAGACATCATTCCATGACACCAGGTGCAGGGCCCCGAACGACATTCCGAAGAGACACGGCAACGGCCAAAGCTTGGAGCGATAGATATCGGGATCCCAGTGAGCAACCACAATTTCCTTTTTGTTTCCTTCTGTCTGAAAGTCGACATGTGTTGGTGGATCTGCAAGTGAGGATGATGACGACCCCGACGACCCCGACGAGCTCTTCTTCGTCTCGAGTACCCGCTCCGCCATCATCCGATCCCTCTCCTCCTTCTCGAACACCCGCGGTGTCAAGTACCAGATACTCCAGTAGGTGACCTGATCGCGCAAGCCCTCGTTGTCGAACTTGTGACTGACCGCCAGACACTCAAACACCGCACGCTGCTCGCTCGTCATCGCTACGGGCAGCTCCACCACCGTCGGCGACCGGATATCCTTGGGCTTGTGCTACCAGAAGAAATACGTCACCGCGATGAGCGGGATATACCCCAGGGTCATGGCCTCGAGCTGCGCCAGGGGTAGCCCGTGCACGGCGCGCAGGATGCACTGCGCCACGAACCACAGCACCTGCGCCAGCGCGATCAGCTTCGCCACTGCATCCGCTTTACTCTTGTCCTCGATGTCCGTGACGGCCAGCCCCCAGCGGGTGTGGTCCTTCCACTCGATCAGGCCCTGCTGCAGTAGCCAGACGTACTGGTTGGGCCACAGGACTCGGTCGCCTAGCGGGGTGCGGTAGCGCAGGACGAGCATGCTGATGTAAAATGCGTGGAGGAGGGTGAATGGTTGTGCTTGCTTGTTGTTGTGCTGCGGGTCTTTGATCTCGGGGCTGGTTAGAATCATGATATCGCGGCGCATGCGTCGACATTACGCCCATTCTTGGAGGCCCTCGACGGCGATAAACTCCGGTGCGATGAGGGTTTTGAGGAAGAGCGCCACCTTGTGGAAGAAGCTGTGGCGCGTGGAGGCGTGCACGCGCGGGTGGATTACGACCCAGGTGCAGAGGAAGAGGGTCGTTAGGCAGCTGGTGAGCAGGCTGAGGGTGCCCCGGCCGGAGTTCTCGGGGATCCAGCCTACGAGTTCGGGATAGTGGGTTGAGGTGGAGGTTGATGTTGGGGCTGTTACTATGTTGGTGGCTGTATAGTTGACTGAGGACATTGGCACGTTGAGTCTTGAATGCAAGGCCCAGTGATTTAATGTTTCTATCGTGGCTTAAAGATAACTGGATATATATTTGTATAGAGATGATGCATTTCTACGCCAAATTGGTTAACGAGGATTCTTGTAGCCTTTGTATGCACGTTATGCGCTGCTTGAGGCTATGAGACTCTAGTTTTGGAATGCGTCGGTAGCAGCGAAGATGGTTGAATGCCAGGTCCCAGAGCGCCAGCAAGTTTTTTCCTCCGAATGACAGGTTGAAATTAAGCGCTGCTGTCACGCTAATGTAGGTGGTGTTTCGACCTTTGCTATGGCCAGAATCATAGGTTGTGCACTTGCCATAGTTCTCTGCGAGCACTGTGTGCGCTGGGATTTCCTAAAATATCTTTTCTCGCGTGTCAATTTACACTGAATGACACGGTCGGTTCTGGTGAAATCGCTGGTCCAAAGGACATCTCCAGTTGTTGTTGATGTTACTAGGTAGTGATTGCTTGAGACCCCGCGTTTTAGTGTCGGCGATAAGCGCTGATCCGCCGCCAGCCTCAGTCACATTCTCACCTTCTCATGGTCCACAACATCACTCTCCCAATCTCACTCTCCTTGGAATTTTCGCTCTGATTTCCCGTCCTTCTCCCTCCTAACCACCACTTCGTCATGACAATAGGCGACATCATGCTATCAATGGTCAAATATGGCTCTTTCTCGGCCGCAATCGCCGTCGGACTGTATGCCGCCTTGCTAGGACTGTTGACTCGGCCTGGCTTCCAAGCGCATGTGGTTTACCTGCATGCGGTGCAGATGACCTGGTTCAAAGACCTCACGGTCCCCGAATCATTCGGGTTTCTTCACAATCAAGTCACTCCCTTCTTCATTCCCACACCAGACGGCCACCGCCTCTTCGCCTGGCACATCCTGCCTCTTTCCGTCTATCACCAGAACGAGCGTGCTCTCCTATCGGAAGATACTCCGGGCGTCATCACCAACACCACGACGCGCCACGCGTTCAACCTCCTCTCCTCCGACCCAGATGCCATCCTCGTCCTCCACTTCCACGGCGCCGGGGGAACGGTCGGGTCAGGGTATCGAGTCCCCAACTACCGAGCTCTCGCGGCCGGCTACCCAGCCAAAAACATCCACGTGCTGACCTTCGACTACCGCGGCTTCGGTCTGACGAACGGCTCCCCCTCCGAGCCCGGTCTTATCACCGATGCTCTCGCTGTCGTAGACTGGGCCCTGAACGTTGCCAACATTCCGCCGCATCGCATTCTCCTCTTCGGCCAGTCTCTGGGCACCGCGGTGACTCTGGCCGTCGCCCAGCATCACGCCCGCCAGTCTCCGCCGGTGGCGTTCAAGGGAATCATACTTGTAGCTCCTTTTGTCGATGTCCCGACCCTGGTGTCAACATACCGCGTGGCTGGAACAGTTCCCATCCTAAGTCCGCTCGCGCGGATTCCGATTCTGTTCCAGGCGCTGCAAGGGTTCATCCGCGACCAGTGGAGCAGCGGAGAACGGATCGCGGAATTCATTCACGCGAGTGAAGCGAATAGCTTGCCGTATCGGCTCACTGTCATCCACGCGGAGGATGATTATGATATTCCCTGGTGGCATGCCCGGGAATTGGTTGCGCGTGGAGTGCGTGCGTGGGGCAGAGATGGGGTGGAGGAAGCGGATGTGAAGGTGGATCTTGGCGCTTCAGGGACGATCAGAGAGTGGGGATCAACCCAAGGGGTAATACGAGAGGAGATTCTGAAGACGGGGCTGCACGATGTGATCATGGGAGATGCGGTGGTGTCGATGGCGGTGATGCGGAGTTTGGATGGTGTATGACGTCAATTGTCGTCGCTTTGCTAGAAGATAGTATCGTACCATATTTTTTACTAGATCAGATTTTCAAACCAACCTACCACAACATTGGCTCTAAGTGCCTCCAAGAAATATCAACTGAAATGAATCTGCAGTAACTTGAGTAATACTTGTCGATCAACCTGGGGCCGAGGTCAGCCCTATCTCAAGCAACAACCGAAGCGCTCATCATTTCGTCAAAGGGACCCATCCGCATGCGACCCATGGTTCACAGCACTGTCTGGGTACAGTGACAACCACCACCATCCTGACATCACTCCTGCATACCCTGCATCAGCGCGCCACCGCTAAAAAGACCTGCTTGCTGCTCGCATGTCCTCTGCGCAAATTCAGTCTTCTTCATTCACCACAACCTGCCTCTGCATCCGGAGATTATCCTCACCATGCGCCTTCCGTTGGAGACACCAGATGCCACGCACCCCGAAATTCACGCCTACATCCTCGGCGCAGGGATCACCTCTCTCTCCGCCGCCGTCCACCTCCTACAAGAAGGTCACCTCCCGGCCTCGCACATCCACATCCTCGAGACCCTCGACCAAGCGGGCGGCGGGACCGTCAGCTCCGGCAATGCAGAGGAAGGATATCACTACCGGGCGGGGGGGATGCCATTGCTGAACGGCGATGCGATGGCGAAGTTGTTCGCTGAGGTTCCATCCGATGTGAATCCGGGGAAGAGCGTTTTGGATGACCTATACGAGTACTGGGGTCTACCGGTGGCTACAGCAGGTCAGCATCATCAGCAGCAGCGTGGTAGGCTGGGAGAGGAACAGACACAACATCCCCACCAGCAGCAACAATCTCAGTGCCACCAGACGCGGGTCATCCGACGGTTGAAGCACGGCCTCGTCCGGATCGACTGCAAACACAGTACAAGTCTTGGGCTGCGGGATCGGGTGGAAGTGTTTCGGTTCCTGAATAAAAGTGAGGTCACGTTGGGGAGATCGCGCATTCGGGATCACTTTGCGAAGGGGTTCTTTGATGGATCTTACTGGGGGGTGTTGAGTACCACGTATGTGTATCCCTACCCTTGACGATGCGGGGTCTTGGACATGTTCATGCACTATTAAGTCTTTCTGCTCGTGCATGAGCAACGCTGACACACAGTCATCAGATTCGGCTTCAAATCCTGCCACAGCGCCGCCGAATTCCACCGCGCTTTGCACAAATTCGGACACGACATCGCGAGCGTCACCAGCTCGCACCCCCGTCCTTTGGACGGCGGCCAATACAACCGCCACGAGTCGCTCGTCGCCCCGATCTCCCGCTTCCTCCGCCGCCAAGGGGTCGACTTCCAATTCCAGACCACCGTCACGGACATCATCTTCGCTGACGACGACGCCGCCGCCTCCAATTCGGGGTCTGCGTCAGCCAGCGTCCACACGACCCCAAGCACCCGCCAGCGCAAGCGCAGCAGCCGCCATAACTCCAACGACAACACCCAAAAGGCCGAGCAGCAGCACCTCCCACCGTCCACCGAGCCGCCCTACCCACCGCGCCTCGTCTCCGCTATCATTGCCCACCCCCTCAACGGACCGGAGCAGACCATCCCCGTCCAACCGCACGACATCGTCCTCGTCTCCCTGGGCAGCGCCATGTCCGGCTCCAGCCTCGGCAGCAACACGAGCGCCCCGCCACTCTACCAAATGGAAGCCGACCACGAGCTCGACGAGAACTGGCTACTATGGCTCGAGCTGACGACCAAGGACCCGCGTCGCTTAGGGAATGCGTATAACTTCTGCACGCGCCTCGAGGAATCCCGCCTCGAGTCCTTCACGATCACCCTCCGCGCCGCCGGCGGGAATCGCATCCTCGAACGCATCACCGGTACAAACAACAATCCTACCACGGAATCATCATCGCCGATGTTCGTCTCCCTGATCGACGCCCCCTGGGTAGTCAGTCTGCACGTCCCGCCGCAGCCGGTCTTCCCGGACCAGCCGGCCGAAATACAGGTCCTCTGGGGGTACGCGTTGTACCCCGAGCGGACCGGAGAGGTGGTGCGCAAGCCGATGCTGGAGTGCACGGGGGAGGAGATCCTGCGGGAGGTGCTGGCGCAGTTGGAGGTCAAGGAGACGGAGGCCGACCGGATCCTGCAGGGGGCTATCACCGTCCCCTGCGTCGTGCCGCGCATGGCGGCGGGCTTGCTGCCGCGGGGCGAGGGCAACCGCCCGCGCGTGATTCCCCCCGCGATCCGGAATTTGGGGTTGATCGGCCAGTTTGTGGAGATTGAGGGGGAGACGGGGGTTACGGCCATGGAGTATAGTGTGCTTGGGGCGCAGATGGCGGTGCGGAAGTTGATGGGCAGGGTTTCTTCAGTGTTTGGGGAGGGGGAAGGGGAGAGGAAGGCTGTGCCAGGGGGGAACAAGAAACAGCAGCAGCAGCAGCAGCACAAGGCCAAAGAGTCGAGGAAACGGTCTTGGTTGCCGTTGCCTTGTAGTTAGCCTGGGAGTATGTAGGCTATGCTGAACGAGGATGATCTTTTGTGAAAATGAGGTAGTAAGATGGGAGATACTACAGTGTCGACATTCCCAGTTACACAGTAGAGTACATTATCAAAATGAGTCCCGAATAAAAATCAAATTGGATATCAAACACACCCTTCCCCAAAACTCAAGAACCAACTTTTTCCTCCCGTAGACATACACCTTCTAGCCCCCCCGCCAAAAAAACTAACGCTTCCTCACCCACTCACACTCCTCCAACCACCCCTCCAAATTCTTCAATCCGGGATACAACTTCCGCAACCGCGGGATATCCGCCCCGTACCCTTGCTCATAGAACCACGTGAACATCGTCCGGGGATCGCCCATCACCCACAGCACCAGATAACACAGCACGCGGTACGTGGTCGGCAGCGGGCGGCCGCCCGTCTTCGCGCGCACCGTCCGCTGCAGATGCTCGTAGGTCAGATCGTCGCCCGCCAGCGACAGGCACTGGTTCCGGAAGGGGGCCGCCGCCGCGCCCGCCCGCACCAGCGCCATCGCCGCGAAGTGGCCCACGTCCGCCACGGAGACGCACTGCAGCGGTTTCCCCTGCAGGTAGGCGTCCCACGCCGTCGCGGCGATCTTGCCGGCGAAGCCCGTGGTCGGGCTGAGGTTCTCGAAGAAGAAGGTCGGGCGGAGGATTGTCCAGGTCATGGGGGTGGTGCTGTTGCTATTGCTGTTGCTGTCGCTGGCGCCGGCTCCGCGGGTCCGCGTGAACAGGTGCTGCTCGATTCGGTGCTTGCTGATGAAGTGCGGGATGCTGGTCGGGTTGTCGCTGGAGGCGTCGCCGCCCCGGTCGACGGAGCTGTACACAAAGTGCGGGATTTGGTGCGCCAGGGCCGCGTCGATGAGGGCTTTGCCTTGGTGTTCTTCTTTTTGCACGCTTTGGCCGGCGGCGAAGGGGTTCTATACATGTTTCACTTGTGTAAATATACAGTACTGGATATATAGTGTGTTGTCTTGGATGAAGTGACAGTTGTGGGGGTGTGGGGGGGCTGGGGGACAGGGGAAATGCTGAGAAGTTGAGGGCAGGTCTACCTGAACGCTAAAGACGCCGGAAATCGGCAACGTCGCGGCTTTCTTTGCATTTTCGAAGATCTGCGCCGGGTGGTCGAGGTCCCCCTGGATGAGCTTGATCTTGGGGGATTTCTGGGTGAGGCGGCGGGCGGCGCTGGAGTGCGGGTTGCGGGTCACGGCGAGGATCTCCACATCGAGTTCCTGGGCGAGGAGGGCGTTGATCACGGCGCTGCCTTGGTTGCCGGTGGCTCCTGTGATGAGGAGTGCGAGGGGCATGGTTGGGAGTGTGGAGTATGACTCTTAAGAGGCTGTGGTGGTGAATGTGAAAGTGAAAGTGAAAGTGAAAGTGGAAAGAAGGAAGGGAATATTCCAGTCCATGTGGAGAGATAAGGATAAGGTATGAAAGTGGAGAGAAAGGCTAGAACATTTTTTTTTCGAAGCTGGAGTCGATCAACCTTCAGTGCGCACTGCATTGATGGTCCATGACCGGATCCGTCAGTCACCGTGACCTCATTTTGCGGGGGAGGATGAGAAGGCGGGGGGTGACTGCTTAGTCAAGTTTCAACACCTCAGGCATTGCCTGGCACTGGCAGCCCTGAGCCTGGACTGAGGGTATGCTTGGTTTCCTCATTGGGAAGTAAGTAGTAGCACCCGACCCGACCATGAACCCGTGACTGAGTGCTCCCTCCTTGTGCGGACATCTTCTCTATCTTCCCTATCGTTTAATCTACTACTGTGCACCGCCTCGAGTACAATGGCTTAATGTGCCTCAAGTCCAGCCAACCAGGAACAAATCGGACCAGCCACAACCCCTCCTCATCTCGCGTGCTATTTCGAGACCACGCACTTGTTATCGCTACCGCAGTCAACATGCATTAGTCGACATGGGAGGAGCACCGGCGCTGGCTCCGTCACTCTTAGCCTCCGGCTACATGACTAGCATTTCAAGCTATCAAGCGAAACACCCCTGGCGGCCCGTTGTCTAGAAACCTGCAGGGGTGGTTCACGCTCAGCCCCATCGTCACTGAACAGCCACACAACCTTGAGGAGGATGAGGGGGTGTCCGGGTGCCAGAAATCGCTGAATCATGGATTCAACGAATATATAAGCTCGTCATTGTGTTGTGTCGTGGGTCGGTATCTCAACTCTCACCAGCACTAACAGCAACACCAAACAGCAATTCCCCACTAGAGATGTCTCGGTATCCAGCAAAGCCAGATCATCTTTCCGACATCCTGGATCTTCATCCCGATACAGAAAGACGGTGTGCGGGGTATGCGCCCTCACAAGGTCGACGCTGTCACAACCCCATAAATGCCGCAAACCGAACTTCGGCCGTGCATCTACTCGATGAAGGCAGTCGAAGAATGAAAAGGGGCGAAGACCTCTGCGACCTCCTGATGGATCTGGCGTCGCTTGTTCTCTGTCGTCATGTTCATCAGAAAGGTCAGCGGAGTCAGGTACCTGAGCTTGTCAAGAAATGGCAGGGTCGAATCCTGGGTGTCACTGAGAATCTAGATAACGTGGAAACTATTTATGGTGGACGGGAGGTGAAGCTTGTGGGCATTCGCAGAGAGACAAATGAATTTGAGACATCGAGGAGAGTGGAAAGATTTCCATTGTCTTCAAGACTTCAGCCTAGCTGGCATGAGAACCTGCCCCTCCAAGTTTATGTGGAGGCTTCAAGATCCAGCAAGCTCGAGGTCGATCGGCGGGCTCGGCCGTCTGGCTCAAATGACGGTAATACTCGTAGGGCAAGGGTGTCATCGGCCGGAGTGTCGGGCGCTATCACCACAACCTCTTCACAGCATGCAGCGTCAATCACTGAACAGCTTGGGTCATTCACTGCTCCTGCACCGACCCTTCGTGCTTCTACTCCATCCTCACCTTCAAGATCTTCCCCATCAAGGCCTTCAAGGCCATCACCTCTGACTCTTTCAACTTCGAATTTTTCACCTACTAATTCCGCCCCGATGGTCAATCCTCGTGCTACTATCGCTCCAGCTTCTAGCTCTCGCGCTCCAGTGACTACATCGATGTCAACTTCTACCTCGACTTCTACGTCCACTTCAACTTCCATCACCTCGCCTACAAGCGCCAGATCAAGTCCAAGTCGTGCCACCACCTCTATCGCTGCGGCTTCTTCTCGCGTGCCAGTTCCTTCACGCTCGGACACCACCTCCACTACCACTACTGTCACCATCACAGGCGTTACCTTGAGCAGGACTATCATACCATCGAACTCCAGCTCCGCAAGTACTGCTGCCCCCACAGCTTCCCCCTCGTCTCCAAGAGTTCCTGTGAACAATGTTGAGCCAGAGGCCTCAGCTTCAGGTCCTACAAGTGCTGCTGCGCGTCCCAGAGCAGCCTCGATTACTGCTTCTTCAACCTCAGTTCCTACTGCTTTAGCCTCTACAACGACCGCTAGGATGACTTCTGAAGCCTCTTCTACGTCGGACCCTACATATGCCCCCACAGCTACTCCTACAGACACAATCCAAACAGCAAACCCAACCGCAAACGCCACTCCCGAACCAACCACAACCACATCTCAACCTGAAACCTCATCTTCTGCCGTCGCCTTACAACCTCCCCACTCTTCCTCCTCAACATTCTCATCATCACCAACCGTCTTATCCCCTCCTCCATTCGTTCCAAACACCACCTACACTCCGACCCGCCAACCCATCACAGGTGACTGCTCCATCTGCTACGAGCCCCTCCTTCCCGACTCTCCTTTCACGACCCCCCGTCAGGCAGCTCGAGACCTCTCTATTGTCTACTGCAAGCAGCAGTGTGGCACGAACTTCCACTTCAGCTGCCTGTTCACGTGGAAGAAGTCGGCGTCACAGATGAATCGGGAGCCGACTTGTCCTATGTGTCGCGCCGCCTGGCCCTGATCTTCTCCCACCAAACAGTACTTGGGTAAATGCAATATTTGGTTCTGTTTATGAATTTGACTGGGTTTCACGATTACGGAGTATGGTCTAGGGTTTTTACCTGGTATTTGGTCTTGAATGAAGGGTTTATTAGCCACTAAATGTTATTATGGTTATTATCACGAGAATGAACTAATGCCTGTTGAATACTTCTTTCCAGCGGTGGGTACAAGTATAGAATCCATTCCGTAAGCTCTATCTATTGCAATTTGCCTAATTTGCATTACCTGTGACCAGCTCAGCTTAATTTGAGCCTCGCCTCAGGCAGTTATTACTTTGGAAGAGATAGACCCAGTATCAGTCGTACATTTAGATAGATCTGAGATAAAAGCCTAGTCCTACTAGTCCTACAAGAGAACACGTTCAAAGAAACTTGTTAATAAAAAAAAAAAGAAAGAAAAAAAAATTAACTCTAACATTCTGAAAATACAATGTAATATAAAAGTTAACACAGGTAGACCAAACCCCAATCTCTCAAAGCGGAATATTCAAAACTTCAAAACTGCAGAAGGAAAAGTCATCAATCATCAGTGTCAAAGGTGCGTGTATCCAACATCACCATCACACACATACTTACTCATCAACCCTAGCCCCCAGCCAGGTAGCCCCGCCCCAGTGGAGTAGAGCAGTGGATTGGGCTCAATTCTTCGACAGCAAAGACCTTGTAAAGAACTTCCCATTCCAGTAGTCCTGCGAGTAACTTCCATCTGCCTTCGCGGGGAAAGCGGGCTTCCTCTGGTCCACATCCATCGGGTACCCGGCCAGCGCGGAGGGGCTGATCGTCTCCCCGGGAGGGGGGCTATACGGGGCCCGTTCGAGGATGGTGGTTTGCACGACGGGAGGAGTGGCAAGGGGGTGGACGGGGCGTGGCTCTAGCCCCGTGCTGTTCTGGGACGCCGCTGCGGAGTGCTCCTGCTCCTGCAGCCTCTGGAGCTGCTGCTGGAGGGCCTGCTGCTGCTGCAGATTCTGGAACTCTTGCTCTTGCAGCTGGTGCATGATTGCGTGACGCTGCTGCTGCTGCTGCTGCTGCTGGATCGATTCCTGGACGCGCCAGTGATGCGCCGCGGCGGCGGCTGACTCCGGCTGCGCCCATCGCGGCTGCTGTTGCTGCTGGTGATGGTTGCTGTAGATGCGGCGAACGCGCATGGGGCTGTTGTTGCCTCGGGCTTGGTACGCTCTGCCACCCCCTCCGCGACGGGCGGGCCGGCGCCGCTCGTGGCGGGCGACGCGGTTGTTGTTCTCGCGGTAGCCGGTGAAGGATGGCCCCGTGAAGGCTTGGGGGGGCTGTTGGAGGTGGAAACCCGCGGCTTGGGGCTGGGGCTGGGGCTGGGGAGGGAAGCTCCCGTACAGAGGTTGTGGGTATTGAGGTGCTGTTGGGGTGATGGGGTGGTAGGCGGGCGGCAGCAGGCCGGGGTTTGGGGCCTGGCCGTGCATCACCATCCCCGGGGCGGTCGGGAAGTAGGGTTTGAGGCCTGTCTGAGGGTAATCTTCGAGCCGGGCAGTGATTTTGAGTGAAGGCACTCCTCCAGGGTTCTCGAATGTGGGTTGGATGGTGATTCCGCTGCTGGGATGCTGGTAGCCAGGCTGAGGATTACCGTTCCAGTCCGGGGTGAACCCCGTCATCGTCCCTTGGGTTCTGTTGTAGAAGGCCCGGGGTGCCGTGGGAATGCTCTGTCCCTGCGGACTAGCCGGCACTGGGGTCGGAGCTGGGGCGGCGATACCAGAGCTGGAGCCGGTTTCAGTCACAGCAGGGTAGAGTCGGCTCTCCTTGGGAGGGATGAAGCCGGTCCCTGCGAATCCATCCGATGCGAAAAAGTCAATCGGAGAGGCCGCCTTCTCGCGCGAAAGGTCTTCCCCGAAGCCCGGCGACGGAGTCACGGTAGGGACCCGATCCATAGCAGGCGCTCCCAGATTGGCCTGGTCCAGGGCTGGTAGCTTTCTTTTCACAAAGTCTCGCCCAACATTGGATTGATTCAACGCCTCGAGCTTGTCATCGGCGAGCCGCTCGTTCTCGCCCCGGAAGACAGATTCGAAGAGGGCTTCAGTCGACGACTTCGTCTGGCTGAAGAAGCCTGGGTAGCTCGAGTTACTGGAGCCACTGGTAGTAGGTCTGGAACTGTCGAGCAGGAGCGGCTGGGCCAGCAGCGACTCGTCCGACAGCTGCGATATGACAATGCAATCGTCCTCGTCATCCTCGTCCATGGTGCTGCTACTCTCGCTGCTGCTGCTGTAGCAGTCGAAGCCCGGCTCGACATCGGGGTGGTATCCGTCGTCGCTGTCTTCGCTAAGAGACGTGCGCACCGAGTGGAAACTTCGGAAAGAGCCCGACTGGGTGGATCTCTGGCTGCTTGCTGGCTTTGAGGATGCGGTCTCCGCGAGACTAATCGCTTCCACGGATGGAACGCCGGTGGAAAGACCGGAGGAGTTGGCAGCCGAAGCGCGCGCCACGTACTCATCCACATACTCCTTGAGAAGCGGGATAGCCTGCACTTGGGGGTGGATGGCGCAGGAGCCAGAGGGTCGCTGATCAGCAGCGCCAGCCTCAGCGCACTCCGCACACATCCCCCAGAGGTCTCCCTTCACGGGATCGTATGAGTTCTGGAATTCGTGGCCGCTGCAATCGCCAGCGCGCAAGCCATTGACCATCTCCTGGCAGATGTCAATGCTGCAGCATGCGATGTGCTTGCAGACCTGGTAGTGAGAATACTTGTGGAAACACATGGTGACTAGCACTGACTGTTGTGTCGACACAAGATGATTTTGAGAGCGTTGTGTGTTGTATAGGTCGAAGCTGTGAGGTTGGATCGAAGCTGTGAGGTTAGATCGTCACAAATGCGCAAAGATGTCAGATTTCACTTTCCAGCAATTTCCAACAGACTTGGGAGTTGTAAAAAAATGAACATCACGGCTTCACAGCGAGCATACGCCCGTTATTTATATCGCATGAGTTGTGGTGGAAAGTCGCAGCAGGTAGACAATGCGATTCTCTCTTTCACAGAGCATCTTTTGTCAAAGAAAGGCATTCTGAAAATCCCCATCAACCACCTAGGCCTCCCTTCTTTATGCGCTCTCCAAAGAGGGAACAAGGAAGGGGGGATGGAGGTTCACAATGGGGTGGGTGTATGTGAAAGGGGAAGCATAAAGAAAAAAGAAATGTCCCTCCTCAAGCCCGCCCGCCCCGTCCGTCACTCCTCATCCATTGACAGGTCGATCAAGTATCGCACCCCAGAGTCCAGCAGCCACCAGGAAGCCAGCTCATGAAAGAACCGCCAGACGGGATTCCTCAGAGGCATTTTCTCCTGCAGCGACGATCCGTCTGCCTTGGTGATCCACAGCACACACTCACTGGCGAAGACCACCTCCTTGGCTTCGTCCCAGAACCGCAGCAGCAGCCGGCCCTCGACCTCCCCGCCGTGGGGGGAGCAGATCTCGAACTCCACGCTGGTCGGGCGACGCTCGGCCACGCGGTAGATGCCGCAGATGATGTCACCGCGCTGGAAGTCCAGGCGGCGGATGCGGGACGGCTTGAAGGTCGCGCGGGATCCCGAGCCGCTGAGGATCCAGAGCATATAGGCTTGGGGGAAGTAGGCGAAGGCAGACATGTTGCGGCGGAGGAGGATGTTAAGGAGGTCGGAGGGTTGGTGGGTCGTGGGGAGGAGCTGGCGCGGAACGCGACGAGTGACCTTCTCGTACAGACAGTCGTGAGTAGACTTGAGGATGTCGGACGGGATCGTGGTCATGGAGTTGAGGGTCGAAGGAGAGTTCGAAAGGTTAGACAGCTTGCCTCGAAAGTGCTCATGCTCCAGGCCATTTCTGAGAGATCGATGGAGCAGGTACAAGTAGGCGAATGTGCTTGTCGACACGGCGAGAATCCAGGTTGTGAGCGACATTTTGACCACGCTTCCACTCCACCCATTGCTCACGCATTCCAATTCGGATGGTGAGTTGAGCTGAGGCTCAAGCTCATATTTAAATGGTTTGGTTTAAGGGTGGGGATTCTGATAATAAGGCTGAGCTGGGCTGAGGGAATGCAGTGGGAGAGAATGGGTCCCAAGCGAGTACGAGTTCCAGATTTGGTGCTGGCACGAATCAATCTGGCACCGCATGCAGACTTGAGTTTCATCTGATTCATCATCGGCCTGTCCGATTTTCATGTAGCTGCTGCTTAGACTTTCATCCCGCCGTCGCAGTCCAAACAGTGCCTTACGAGGTGAAAGAAGTGGCTAGTTACTTGCGGCTCCTTCTACAGATATTGTGGCTATACTCAGACACAGCCGATTTCACAGCCCATTTCCCCCACTGCGTTTGATCACGTTTCATCCATTTTAGTTAGATCATATATCTCCTTGACACGTACTCCGTATACTTTAGATCATTCTCCTGCCCACATAAAATAGAAGAAGAAAAGTCGCTTGCACGTCATCGCCCATCTAATCACTCCTCCATTCAACCCTCTCCTCCATGAATCCATCACTCGACGACACAGCCCTCCCTATCCCCTGACTAACCACCAACACAACAAAGCGGGTATCCTTGGTGGATAACTCAACAGCAAGCAGTAATAGAAATTAGAGAAATAATATAGTAGAAAGAACGGCCTTGGAAGAAAGTTATTGTAGTCACGGTCCTCCATCGCTTAAACCTATTGGTGACGCCACGGTCGGATCAAGGAGGCTTCACGCGACATCGTAGGATTGCTTCTCTGCTTTCCGTTTCATCCATCGGCGGTAGATTAACAGGGCGACGATTCCGACGGCGACAATGAAGACGATACAGAAGACCAGAACCACACCGGGGTTTCTGCTGGCCCAATTGCTTCGCTTGATGAGCTGGTGGTGTCGTTGTGCAGCGGTGGACACGAGGGCGTCGATGGCAGCCATTGTCTGTCAGGGTTAGCACTCGGTTGATTTTCCTGTATACCTTTGAGGCAGATACTCACGTCGTACGGGGGAATAGGAACGGGGATCACGACAGACAGACGATACAGACCGCAGCTCTCCAACAGATCACCACAGCACGGCAGGGCAGGAGCAGGTGAGGATTCGTGAAGAGATGGAGAGCGACAAGAAAAGAACCTAGGAAGTCTGACCCGTTGGCAGACTTGACTTGCGCACCATCGGGAGCAGCGGAAAGAAAGTCATGACTCCAAGATCGCAATGACGTGGTGGAGAGCACATGCATGCAACATTGGACGGGTTTGGCGTCTGGCAGCCGGGGATAACCCACGAAGCTTATTTTGGGTCTGACAGGAGCAGGGAGGGGAGGTGTAAGGGTCATATACTCCCCCGATCCGGGTAGTAGTAATGGATGAGGAGGTATCATTCGATCGAATGGGCACGGCAGCCTGTAGTGTCAAAAATCCTCGCGTGCGTGACGAGTGTAGCCCCGGCTGTCGCTCCTGCTGTCTCGGTGAGATGTCTCACTCTTGAGAGCTGTAGATTTGCATTGTATCATATTGGAGATGTGTTGAGACACCTTGAATGAGTTCAAGAGACGATTCCCGAGTGCTGACATCAAGCGATGTGGAGAGTATGGAAGATCCGCTCGTCCCGTTGGCGTCACCACTCCTGCATTTCCGTGGTTCCATTCCCTGTCCCGTTGTGCTTCCGATTCGTGCCCATCTGTGGTGAAGAGTGAACGATGAAGACGTTAATCTGGTGATTGGATGGGGTTGGTTGAGCATACTAGCTACTAGGTAGAGAGGGGATGATGTGAGCAATGCAGTGGGAGGTATGTCATCCACTCCACGGTCGCATTTCGATCAGTCAACATCCTAGTATGCGCAAGTCAGTAGACCATGAGATGCGTTGACCAACAATTTCATCTGAGCTCTCAGCCTTGAGATCATCTTTGAGTAGAGGCATCGGCTTTAATATAGATGAAATCCAGAAATAGACGCCGATAAACACAGTGCACAAGAAGAACTTGGAAAGGATTAAGCAACTACGGGAGACCGACCGACCGACCGACCATAAACCCACCCAACCTACAACCCTGCAACAGCAGCCGGCAACCCCTCCATCCCCTCCAAAAACGCATCAAACTCGCCCTTCACCATCTCCATATCCTCATCCACATCATCCGTCCACCGATGCACGTAGACCGTCCGCATGCCCACCTTCTGCGCGCCCCTCAAATCATACGCATGCGCCGCGACCAACACCACCTCCTCGGGCCGCAGCTGCACCAGCTCCAGTCCCCGTCGATACGCCTCCGCCCGCGGCTTGTAGACCCCCAGCAACTGGCTGGAGAAGAGCATATCGAAGCGCAACCCGGACGAGCGCGTCAGGTCCAGCTGGAGCCGCGTGGTGCCGTTGGCGTGCACGAAGACCTCGAGGCCGAGTTCGTCGCGGAGCCGCTGGATCGCCGTCGACACCTCGGGCCACGCGGGCTGGCGGTGCCAGGCTTGGATTAAATGAGTTGCCGTGTCCGGGTCTGATAATTCTTCGAGGTGGGCCTTGTAGTCGGGGCTGCTGCTGCTGCTGCGATCGAGAACGACACCAAGCGCCCGGCGGAGGGTCAGGTCGATGTCCTCGGGCGCTAGGTGGTCGCGCACGCGCTGCTCGTTTTCGAGGAAGTATTGCCGGCGCCAGTCGAGGGCGAGCTGCGAGGCGGCGGGCGCGGGGATGGACGCCGGCATCGCCCGGACGACGCTACTATGCCAGTCGAGACAGGTGCCCATGAAGTCGAAGAAGACGGCTTTGATCTTGGTGGGTGCGGTCATGGTGGGCGGTGGCTGGGTATGCTATGTTAGTTGTCTTGGGGTGCGTTCAGTAGGTTAAGAGCTGCGTTCGAGAGATTCGGTATGCCCTTCGGAGCTATCATCTAAGCCTTACAAGGCACTCGGTGAGTGGGTGAGTGCTGTACTTAAGAGCATGACGCATTTATAATCAACAAGGGGGGTTGTTGTCGAAGTTGCCGCTAGTCTGTTAATTAGATTATGGCAGTGCTTGATGTTGCGAAACGCTCAGACCATGGGGGGAGCCAATGATCGCCCATCGTCAGCACGCCATGGGCTGCAGGATCCTTGGACGCTGGGGAATCTCGGCCTGAGGCTCAGAGCCACATATCGTGAAGGAGGCATTACTTCGATCTGCAGGTCACCGAACTGTTCCTTGGAGCGATCGTCTTTCTTCGGCAAGAAGTTGATTTTCATGTCATGGCAATAAGTTATACAAAGGGCAGCACAATCGTCGCAGGGAACAAGCAAGCAGGCCGGAAACAACATGGCCTCGCTTCTGTGAGCATTTCTCGGGGTATATTAACATTCAGGCACACCAAAACAAGCAATAATCATCCCCAAACATAAACCACCCCAACGTCAATCTTAGCGTACTCAGTTGTGTTGATGCACATCCGTCCGTCCGCTGTTGTGCCAGGTCGCCAGCAATGCACCACATTTTCCACAGTAGTGGTGCACATCCTTGAGCGACGACATCAGATAGGGAATGCAGCCCAAGCAGCAGCAGATGCAAGTCACTGCGGCCCATGCACTGCGGAAGGTTAGTATATACCCCCGTGCTACTTCCACCACGGCATCTTACTGTGTAGTATTGCCCGCCTCCGCTACCACTCGCGTCATCTCACGGCTGCCGCAACTTGGACAGTCCACGGGCGCTGGGCCACGTTGAAGCGCATGCAGGGGTGTCGCATTATTGTAACCGCTCGTGTGGTGTGTCTGCGTCCCCGCGTAGAAGTTCTGTGACGAGGGCTCGTGGGGCTGAGGTGGAGGAGTGATCGTTTCCATCGGGGGCTGCGCATATGCCGGAGGTGGATGGTTGATGCTCGGTTGGTTGGTCTCTTGCAAGTTCTCATATGTGGGGACTGGAGCTGAAGCTGAAGCTGTTAGCTGGGCTGAATCCAAGGGCTAGGTGGACATACTAGGGGTGGCTTTCTCGGCCATGTTGAAGGGGACAATTGAGCTCGGACTTTGATGCTTTCACTACTGAGACCGGATTGGACTCGCTCGAGTTCGACAATAGAAAATGTGCTAGAGAGTATTAGAAAAACATCGCTCGAAAACGAGCCTGCTCCCATTGTTCTTCTGTCCATTCTTATAATCTAGGCCAACGCCGGGTGCGAGGTCCAGGCAGAGCATTTGTGGTGAGCCAACAGCAGCTTGGAAGGATCTTCGCGTAACAGTAGGCGCAGTGCTGGGCTTGTTGGTCCAAGCCATCAGACGTCGTGTAAGGCATCGAGACTTGCATCCATTGGCAGACGTATGATACCGACAAGTTCATTGGATGCAATACGAGGCTCCGCGCTGCATTGACCAGGGGAATTGGCGACGGCAGCGAGATGCTTCGCTATTGGGTGCCATGCGTGTGTCAGCCTTGCGTGTATGCGTCGGATGCTAATTACAACATACGAGCAGACTTTGCCAATGATGGTCGATGTAGATCTGGACGGAGATTTCGTATCACTTGCGGAGTCGTCTGACATGTCGATTGCCCTTTGTTTGGGAGGAGCGGATGCTTTGCCGACACCACAATTGACAGGACAGCCCCATTCAAAGACTGTAGACCTTGGTTATTATGCGAAGGGGTTATGTTGGTGCTGAATGATTTGAACCCGTTCTATGAAGGAACAAGTCCATGGTCTGGTACAGACATACGAACCTGCCTCTTCTGCGCTTGTGGGAGTCCAGTTACCAGCATCAGGACTGATAAGCCCCTTATCCTGCTGTGCGAGAGCCCGGCACAGAAAAACAAAAAGAAAAAGAAATGCTGCGTCAGCGGGGAGTCGAACCCCGATCTATTGCTTGGAAGGCAACAATGCTAACCGCTACACCACTAACGCTCTTGCTTGAAAGATAGCCAAACTAGCCAACCTAAGAGAGAAATGCGGCAATCCCATATGTCACAACGTTCGCCTCGATGTTGAGCTTCTATAACAACATATTTGTGTTGAAGCCTCTTAGTCGACTCCAGTTCACCATTGAAAGAAAAAAAAGATAGCTCATTGTGTGCCAACTGAGGCATTACGGTGTCTATGTTTAACCGTGTCAAGGCCCAAGGAGATGTCTCCTGCATTGCCAATATATATTATATTCACCCGCAGCTGATTGTCCATGATAAGCCGAGTCAACGCCACCCTGTATACACAATAGTAAGACCCATACACCCCCCAATCAAGGATACCTCCCCGCGGACCCCAGCATATCAATACACCGCTCGACGGCCTTCTGCATCTCCGCGGTAGCCTCCTCAATAACCGCCGTCAAGGGCGCCCTGCCAGCCTTCTCCGCCTGCACGCGCACATACTCATTGTTCAACACCTTATTGATATTCACCTTACTGACCCCGCAACCGATGCACCTCCGGAAGATCTCCTCGGTGAACGGATCGGCGCCATGCAGCACCAGCCGCGTGCTGTGGGGCTCCACCGTCTCCTGGATCCTCTGGAGGCGATCATACTCCAGCACGACGCCGCGGGGCCCATAGCTGCCGTGCACGTTGCCGAACGCGGGGGCCAGCCAATCGATGCCCGTGTCCACGAACTCCAGACTCTCCTCGGGGGTCGTCAGCAGGCCCTCCAGGTCCGCCGTGTCGGAGACCCCATCCTCGCCGCCCTCGATGCGGCCCGGCTCGGCCTCCGTGGCGATGCCCCGCGCGTGGCAGTACGCCACCAGCTCGCGCGTCAGCGAAAGGTTCTCCGCCCTCGAGTAGTGCGACATGTCGATCATGATGCTGTCGAACCCGCCCATGTCGGCCGCCCGGCGGATGATCGCCGGCGACTGCGCGTGGTCCAGGTGCACCGTGACGGGGACGCAGGCGCCCCGCGCGGCCTCGGCCGCCGCGTGCACGAGGATCGCCCCCGCGTAGTCGATGGCCCAGGGGAAGAGCAGGATCATGGCCGGCGAGCGCTTCGCTTCCGCGGCGCGCACGGTCGCCAGGATGCCTTCCACGTTGTAGCAGCACATGGCGGGGATGCCGTAGTGGTTGGCGGCGGCGTGGTCGAGGAGGGGGATGGCGCGGTTTTCGGTGAGAGGAGGCATCTTGGTGTTAGGCTGGGAGGAGGGGGGATTGGATGGAGTCGGGGGTGTTGATGGGTGGGGACAAGCGGTGTTCGTGTGGTTTTGTCATGCTTTATAGGGAGGGGAAGTGAGGTATATGGGATGACTGTCGGAGTATACTTCACCTTTTCTCTCTGTTTACCATCTGATTACCCCCGCGGAGGGGGCTCCGAGGCCGGAGTTGCTCCGATCTGATGTCATTTGCTTACTGCGAGGGGTAGACTGTATAACCACAGACTGTCATAGATGGTAATATTGAATGCAGGAACCGATATCTTACCTCCAATTACCACTCAAACTGTACCACCAAGGAAGATGAGATCCAAGAAATCTATCCAAATAGAGACGAAGGTTGATATTTCTGGCTCTTGACTAACTACCTAATCAGTAATCACAACTTCCCCCTCCAGCCTCCGCCCTCATACAAACCCACGACACTGGTACTACTCGACCCCCCCAGCCCAGCCCTCTTAGCCATCAACAAGACCCCCAACGCCGCATTCCCCAAATGCAACGGACAATGCAAGTCCCTGGCCCTCTGAACCACCCTCTCCAACCGCTGCACGAGCGCATCCACCGTCTCCGCCCCGGCCGGCGCCTTCTCACCGACCCTGCCCTCAATCATCTCCAACCCTCGAGAGACAAACACTTTACTCCCGCCGGCTGCATCACTCACCAGCTCATAGAACTGCGCCAAATCCACGCCCAAAAATCGGGCAAACGAGGTCGCCTCCGCGGCCGCCACCAGATTCACCGCGGCCATCAGATCGAGCACCAGCTGCGTCCGCTCCTCCTGCTCCTCCGCGCTCAACGCAGACGCATCAACCTCCGCCACGGGCCCCGCAAAATACTGCCTGACCAGCGCCGCATCATCCTTGGCCCCGTCCCCCTGCAGCAGCGCCGACAGATAGATCTGCTCCGCCGTCGCACAAAGCGGTGTCGGGAAGTGATGTTCTCTCGCCGAGGTCGTGATGATCCCCTACCCATATACAGCAGTCAGCAACCGTTAACCTACTATCACCCTCACCCCTACCGCCCCCAAAAATAAGGGCAAAAAACATACCGCATCCTTCAAAATAATAGTCACCGCACTAACCCCGGGACTCCAAACCCCTTCACCCCCCAGAATCCTGGGCGACCGATTCTCATGCATCCAGGTCCACGCCTCCCCAGAAACAATCCTCTCCGCCGTGCGCGCCGCATCCAACCCCAACCGCGCCGCCAGACCGTGCGCTTCGCTCGCGCCCAGGATATGGATCGCCGCGAGCACCTGATGCACCATCTTCATATTACTGCCGGCGCCGATCCCGCCGGGCACCAGGTAGAGCTTGCGGGGGGCGCTGAGCGCCTCCAGCACCGGGGTGGCGGCCTCCAACGCGGCGGGGCTCCCGCCGGCCATGATGGAGAGGGTGCCGGCTGCGGCGCGCAGGGCGCCGCCGGAGACGGGGGCGTCAACCACCAAGATATCGGGGCGGGTGGTGTGGATGGTTTGGGCGAGGGATTGGGCGGTTGTGGCCGGGATGGTGGACATTAGGATTAGGGTGGCGGATTTGGGGAGGGCTTTTTTTGTGGCTGGTTAGACTGGTGTAGCTGGTTTTTGGGTTTGGGGGAGGGGTTTGAGGGTGAGAACAGTGGGAAAAGGGAGGGGACATGGGGTAAGTACACTGCACAATGCCCTCGTTTCCGAAGAGCACGCTCTGGACTTGCGGTGCGGAGGCCACCATACACACGTAGATGGATTTGTCTTGGGCGGAGGCGCGCAGCGAGGCAGCCCCAATGCCCCCCGCGGCTTGGAAGCGGTAGATCGAGGCGGGGAAGACGTCGTAGCCGTGGACGGGGTAGCCTTCGTGGACCAGGTGCTTGGCCATGCCGAAGCCCATGGCGCCGAGGCCGACGAAGCCAATGGCTGGTTTGGTCATTCTGGCGGCAGATACAAAGGTGAGAAAACAAAGAAGAAAAGAAAATTCGACTCTGTAATATGGTATGATGTGTTGCGCTGCGTTGCGTTGCGACTTTTACTTATAAGAGGGAGAGTTGATGTCGCATGGAAGTCCGAGGAGGGGTCGGAGATGAGCCGATCAGATAATGCGGGGATGACATCAAAAGGGATGTGTGCAATTCCCTCCGAGTCTATCGTGCCGATACCCCTCCGATACTACACGGCCAGGGCCGAACTGCCAAGGTTGGGTTTCTTGAACGGTCTATTATAGCTTTGTCCTAGAGACTTGCATAAGCCTTACCCACTCACGCATCTATGACACAACGAGCGACGGACTGAGGCTGACAGACACCTTTTCGGTCCAGGAGGAAGAGTCACACATTGCAAACCTATGCAGCAATCTTCGCCAGCATCTCTTCGCGCAGTCCCCAGCCCAACGACATTGCAGCCCCCGGTCCAAACGCCGCCGTCGTGGCTGCCATTCCCATAGTATTCCACCACGACAGCGGGTATCCGTGCCGTTTCAGCTCCCAATACTTCAACCCCAGCCAGACGAATCCACTTGCCATAACGAGACTCTCATCATATTTCATGAACCGTGCAATTCCCTCTGCAAAGCTACCGACAGGCAAGGTATAATCCCATAGTCCAGGTAGAATGACACCGGCCATGGACGAGCCCGCTGGGAGCGAACGGCGAGCATACGTAAAACTGAGCCCTGAAATGACGGCAAAGGACATATAAATGCCACGAATGTATCGCAGGGTCTTTCTCGAGCTACGCTTGGCTTCGACAGTTTCTTGTTCCTTGGATAACTTCTTGACTGGTTCGGAGGCCACTTTGTCCATAAGACGAAAAGGAGCTTGGAGAAGTGGAACCACCACCGGGAATAGCTGCCAGATAGCGTTGAAATACCGGCGATTTTGTAATTCCCGAGGAAGAAAATTCCCGAGCGTCGGGAGGTAGTATGCCGTGAGCATAGTAGGCAGGAAGGTCGTCAGCATATCTGATCTGACTTCATGGCGACGGTGAACAAGCTTGCTCAAGGGTGTTCGTAGGTGCTCGATTATGTAGTAAATTGGAGCAATCTTCCCGATCCCTCTCAGTTGGAATGCTGCTCCCATGGTGATCGGACTGTAAGTTCAGATGATCAGTGGGTTCTGTATCGGACTGATCCCAGGCCATTCACAAAAGTATCTCCACCCAAGAGTGGGCTCTTCGGCCGCTTTCCAGAAGCCAGATGCCGTAGATCGGACCAAGGTCCGCCATAAACGACAACATCTGCGCGTGTGACAAAACATCGGATCCACTGATAGATGGCATAAAACAGGTCACCAGTGCCCCAAAAGTCTTATCCAACAACGGAACATTGTAAAGAGGCTCGGTCAGCCTCAGAACTTCCCCCACTGCTCGCAGTCCAACTGCCGGACTGAAGGAGCGATCCTATCAAAGGACGGAGTCCTGCAAGCACAGAGTCCATCGAGACATTGGCATAGGCGTAGCATGCCAGAAGCGGGGTGCAAGCCAGTGCTCTTTTCGCAAGCGAGCCCGTCTCAATTTCTTTGGGGTCTTTCAAACAGGGCATGGCGCAAATGTATGCTTTTCCTGGCAGTGGAAGCAAGATCTCTTCTTCGTCTTCCCATGCCAATGAAGTGGTAAGGGATGTTTGATGACTGACATTGGACTTGAGTCAGGAAGTTGGGGCCCCGAGATTTTATAGCAACCAACGACCACCACCTTGACCTTGAACCGGACCACTCAATTCTATGTTGCCTTGTCAAGAGGGTTCGTAGTCGGGTAGGCTACAAAATTGATCATCCTAGTTGCTACCGTAATAGTTCTTGCCGGCTTGTGATCTGAAGTGCTGATCAGTCTTGGCCATGATAACAGAATCTCTCATTAGTCGTTAAACCTTGACCATTCCCCGACAAAAGAGGTACTGCTGGGAATAAGAAAGATGCCGTACAGCTGACCCGGGATGTTTGCGCGAACTCCGGGATCTCCATGCGTTTGATAGATTGATCGACTCCATCGTGGCAAGCCCGCAGCTAATTTGCGAGAAGTTTTCGGACTCGTCTCAAGATGTATCTTATACCATTCGAGGGTGTCATATGGACATTTGTCTTGATACATGCAAGACCTCACTTGTCTGATGGTTGGGCTCTGCTGTTTGAGTTGATGACTTTCCTTGAATCATATGTCGACCACATCGAGGTCGAACCTAACACCTGCATGATACCATGTCTGGCTTTCTCCCTGTGCAAGTAGCCGTCCTCTGCAAGGAGTACAAATCCGTGTCTGCGCATGTCAATCCAGCCGCACATTTTATTATGCTGCCATGATCCTCTCCTCAAACTTCCACAAGATTTCAAAGATCCGTCAATGCATAATGTAGAATATATATATGAAATTCCATTGGTAGAACTGACCACCGCGGCTAAGAAAATCAACATGCACAATTTACACCTATTGAAACATCCGACATGAGACCTCGAAAACGGAGGGAATAGAGCGCGAGCGAAAAGGAACTGGAAGAAAGAGAAGGAAAGGTGAAGAGAGGAAGGAATTGAAATAACACACGACTTAGGACAGAAAGGGAAAGAAGAAATCAAGCAGTTCTTTTCTTTTGTTCTTGGTCGCTTTCCTAGTGAGCAGCCATCATCTTCTTGATCTCGGCAATTGCCCGAGCAGGGTTCAGACCCTTGGGGCAAGTCCGAGAGCAGTTGAGAATGGTGTGGCAACGGTAGACGCTCATGCTGTTGTCCAAAGCGGCCTTACGCTCAGCGGTCTTCTCGTCACGGGAATCGGCCATCCAACGGTAGGACTGCATCAGGATGGCGGGACCGAGGTACTCCTCGCTGTTCCACCAGTAAGAGGGGCAAGAGGTCGAGCAGCAGGCGCACAGAATACATTCGTAGAGACCGTCGAGCTTCTTACGCTCCTCCGGGCTTTGGCGGTACTCAAGACCCTGCGTTCACCATGTTAGTACCAGTTCGCCCCATTCGATGCGACAAGTACTTACATCCTCGGTAGGAGTATCACGCTGAAGGTAGGGCTTGATGGACTTGTATTGCTTGTAGAAGTAGGTCAAATCGGGGACCAAGTCCTTGACGACGTAGGTGTGAGGCAACGGGTAGATGCGAGAATCCTTGGCAGTGTCGGTGGGAATGCGGCCTGCATATGAACAATCAGCGACTCGGATTCACACAATTGCGGTTGCGGAAAGAATCAGAACATACACAAGCAAGCGAGAGTGTTGACACCATCAATGTTCATCGCACAGCTACCGCAGATACCCTCTCTGCAACTTCTCCGGAAAGTCAGGGTGGGGTCGATCTCGTTCTTGATACGGATGAGCGCATCGAGCATCATGGGACCGGTCTTGTTCAAATCCAACTCATAGGTCTGCATCTGGGGCTTCTCGGAGGGAGTATCGGGGTTCCAGCGGTAGACCTGGAACTTCTTGATGCGAGGCTGCTCGGAGGGGGTGGGTTCCTGCACGGTCGACGTCTTAGACTCGGGGGTGACACTGGTAGTGGCATGGCCAGTTGCGCTCACCTGGGCCACGGGATCAACGGTCGCATAAGAGCGGGCGAAGACAGCTGGGCGGAAGAGGGGCTTGGAAGCCGCGAAAAGGCGCGAAGTCGAGCGGAGGGCAGACATGGTGGGCGATCCTTCAATTTCAAACCGGAGGGATGGAAGATAGGGAGGCGAAAAATGGGATAGACCCTGAGGGCACTGAGGCGAAAGGAGAAATAGACGGTGAGACGTCAACTGGATGTTGCGAAGCGGAGAGGAGAGAGGTCCGTAGAAAGGCAGCCAGCCAGCGGCAATGACAAGGCAACGACCAAGAGAGGCACGAGGTGGATTGAAGTCGAAGTCGATCGATGCTGGCGATGTTTTGTCGCCTTTGGAATCGGAAGGTAACCTCGGGTCTGACGGCCGGCAATTGGCTGACTCAGCAAATCAGAACCAATCAGGCAAAGGCTAATTGCAAGCGTCGGAGATACACGGCGAGGCTCTACAGTGCGGCTAGACTTAAGGGAATGTATTTCCCTGTGACGGCGAGTGAGGATGTACTTGGTCCAATTCTTCTCATAGGAAAAGCGAAGAGGCCGACCTAGAAGCACTAATCACCATTCTAGTCTTTACATCTTTTTACTCCCCCGCATCATAGCCATCCCCAGCTCCCGTCGCGCAAGGGCAGGCTCTTTACTAGTTATGTAATCCGCTTTCCGCCGCCTGCACTGTCCAGTCTGTCCCAAAGGAGGAACGGAGCCGAAAGCTTTTGCCGCCCTTGGTGTCATGTGATGTGGTATGTCATTCAGGCATCAACACTTACCCGCCAGGCTATAAGGCATCACAATCCGTCTCAGGCATCAAGGCATTAAGGCGGGAGCAACGAGGCAACAACAGGTTAGCAGTCTTTTGTGGGAGTTAACTTATCCAGCTGAGCCCCGCGGGCGGAACTTGGGAGGAACTTGAAATGTAAGACATCGTCCACAAATGCCGACACCAAGCTTCTTGACACCGTCACTATTTTTACCCAACCAGCGATAAAGGCTTTATTAAAAAGACATCACATTGCATTAGTCGGCAGTCATCTGCCGTCCATTACCGGTGCCATTGCCCAGTCTGAGGATGATGAGTTTAATTGATTGATTGTTGGCTTTGGGCTTCATGTCCAAGTTGTGCTGGCAAGATGGGATTAACCCAGCTCCTCAATCTTATGGATCCAGGTCGCAGTCTGATCTGTCTGTTCCCTATACCTACCGAGATCACTTGCGTAGGACAACATCAAGCGGATTGAATCCTTATATAATATTCTTGGCTTAATTTGGGATGCCATTTCATGCCGCGAGATCCGATTAAGGACCTCATCTTATGCGTCGTATTCGGACATCTCAAATCTTCCCCTTTTTCCTTCTCTCCTCGCATTCGACATGGTCAGTCGGTGGGAATGGGCGTGGTCACTATCACATTAGCTGGGCTTGGTATGGAGCATACCATCTCGACATTTGCCAATACTTGAGCGATATGGAAGCACAAGTACCTTGTTCCTCACCATCAAGACACTGCAGATGCATATCATTGCCCGAACCGGAGGCGATATGAGCAGTCTGCTTCTCTGCCATAAAGCGGGAAGGGACCAAGTAAATTGCACTAAGAAGCCGGTCTCCTATAACTGCCATTTTATAGTTGTGACTGACGAACAAAACAGTCAGCCAATATCGCAGCTACGCCACTCTCTTGCGGGCCCAGATGCTAGATTGCAACATTCAGGAATCAACCGCTGCATAAGGATTGCGGAAAAGTTGCTGCATCTGGTCAAGGGCGCTGGCGGGAAATGAAAACAACTGAATATTCCACCCCTCTTCATCGCTCGTCCAGATACCGAGTAGCATTGCCCATGCTTAAGGCCGGAACCCGATGGTTCTACAGCCCTTAATCCACCGACTGTTCTCTGTTATATGAGCCTCTACGCCCGAGATGGTAATTCGACCGACCGTTGCTGGACGACAGAGATAAAATGTCTTTCATTGGTAGGCTTATCGCACGTACAATCCGGCCTCACCACGCCGTACATATCTCATCACCACATTGCAAGAAGCTTAAACTGCTAAGGCTTTTGGTCTCAGATTAAGACTTCACCTCCATTAGTTTATTTCCGCTGGCGTCCTGCAGCTAAATTTGAATGTAAGACACAGGTGGACGTCATCCCCATTCTTCGTCAAGGACCGGATCCTCTTGGAAGACTTGGGAGGTTATTTCAAGTGGAGACTCTTGTCCTCAATGGCACCAGTCAGAGACGCTGATGGGATCACATTGCCCTCCCTTACCAAGGTGGCCATAATATCCGATTGATGGAGACATACTTCGTGTTCTGGAAGCGCTCGGAGCTACCCTTCTGGGAGTGAAAACGGGGTACTGGCTTGCCGGCGCAATAAATCTTACGTTTCTTTTGGGTTCTTTTTGTTTTGGACTTCTGGTCCCGCGATGTGGTGGGTCGGAAAAAAGGCCCACTTGCCTGTTGGCTGTGGACCGGCGGTTCAGCGTTCCTGACACTATGCAGATACGATCTAAAGATTCTTTTTCCGCAGTCACCAGCCATACTCTGCGAGGAACATGGGGAACAACCCTGCAACCGTTTAATAGGAAGTCACAACAAGATCTGAGACTCCTTGATGGGTGAGACCGTGAGACACGGAAGGTTTCCGGCCCGGCTCCGTGTTACACCCGAAGCCCTAACCCCCCCGGCCGGCGCCCTAGTCGAGGTTCCATCATTCTCAACATCCTCATCGTTCTGCAGTCCTGCAGTCGTCTGGCCTCGTCTGGCCATCAATATCACGGATCCCCAGCCAAGACGGAAGAATTACTCTGTCTACGTGTACTGGTGAGGTCCGACCTCCGGCCTTTGCCACGGCGTGATTTTTACTTTAGACTACAGGGACTAAATAGCAGCGGCGTGATAATCATGAAACATCGTAAATCACCCGGGATGCTCCACAGTCTAACGCCTCTATCGCGCCAGTTCCCATCTGCTACCGGCCGCCCCTTGACAGTGGATCGCCGTGTTCATGGGCTATGAACCAGGAGGTTCTCTCCGTGGTGATGGACAAACCATGTGGCTGCTGCTGCTTATCATTTCCCATTTTGAATCAGCCCACGGTCTGGTTCGTTCAACCTTTCCAAAATTCCATGATTCCCTTGCAAGGCCTCGGTCAGTCCTCCGGCGCCAAGTCTGGGACTGATCACGAAGAATTGACGCATTTGTGCAAGAGTCCTTAGCTCCTAATCAAAAATGGCCTTGGTCGTTTCACCTCGATCACCCGTTCAATTTCATTCGATATCTTGACTCTGCTCCATCAGATTGGAGATGGTGGCTTTCTCCTCATGATTCCCGGAATTCCAGCTATATAAGTCCTCTGGAGCATCCCTCCTCCATCAGGTTTCTTTTCTCTCTCATTCCACTCTTTCCCTCTTTCTCTCCCTCTTTCACTTCAGTCCTTCTTTCTCAGTCTTTCCCTTTTTTCTATTCAGATAGCTGGTTCTCTATCTCTGTTCTCTGTCATTCCAATCCAACATGAAGTACACTGCTATCTTCAGCGCTGCTGTCGCTGGACTTGTCGGCTCCGCCGCTGCTGTCGGAGTCTCCGGCTCTGCCGAGGGTTTCGCCAAGGGCGTTACCGGGGGAGGTTCCGCTACTCCCGTGTATCCCTCCACCACTGACGAGCTGGTCTCTTACCTCGGTGACAGCGAGGCCCGCGTCATCATTCTCGAGAAGACGTTCGACTTCACCGGCACTGAGGGCACCACTACATCCACTGGATGTGCCCCTTGGGGAACGGCAAGTGCGTGTCAGGTGGCTATTAACCAAAACGACTGGTGCACGAACTACGAGCCTGATGCTCCCTCCGTCTCCGTGAGCTAGTAAGTGATTTTGCTCTAGCCACCATCAAATTATCTTGATAGAGCATCGTTCTGACACTTGTACCCTTCTAGCGACAACGCTGGTGTTCTCGGTATTACCGTTGGCTCCAACAAGTCTATCGTTGGTGTCGGTAGCACTGGTATCATCAAGGGCAAGGGTCTCCGTCTTGTCAGCGGTACTGAGAACGTTATCATCCAGTACGTCTCCAATCATACGATTTTGAGATAGGCGGTCCCCTCTAACAATGCATCTCAGGAACATCGCCATCACCGACATTAACGAAAAGTACGTCTGGGGTGGTGATGCTATCACTCTTGACGATGTCGATATGGTCTGGATCGATCACGTGACCACCGCTCGCATTGGCCGCCAGCACATCGTCCTTGGAACCGATGCCGACAACCGTGTCTCTATCACCAACAACTACATCGACGGTTTGACTGACTACTCTGCTACCTGTGACGGCTACACATACTGGGGCATTTATCTCGATGGATCCAGCGACATGGTCACCCTGAAGGGCAACTATATCTACCACACTAGCGGTCGTTCCCCCAAGGTTGGAGGAAACACCCTCGTCCACGCCGTACGTCACACTCCAATCCTCCTCCCTCTCGACAATCACTAGCATATTCTCGGTGATCTGTAGAGTTTGTGGCTAATAAATGACAGGTCAACAACTACTGGTACGACAACACCGGCCACGCCTTCGAGGTCATGTCCGGTGCCTACATCCTTGCTGAAGGCAACGTCTTCCAGAACGTTGACACCATTGTCGAGACTCCCGTCGACGGCCAGATGTTCTCTGTCCCCTCCACCTCTTCCGGATCTTCCTGCACTGCCTCCCTTGGCCGTGCCTGTGTCATCAACGGTTTCGGCAGCTCTGGCACTCTCGACGAGACCGACACTGCCTTCCTCACTAACTTCGCCGGCAAGAACATTGCCACTGCTTCCGCTTACACCTCCGTCGCCTCCAGCGTTACCGCCAACGCTGGTCAGGGCAAGCTGTAAAGGAGAAGCTAGCTGGGTTTCTCTTCTTGCTATAGTGATATTGGGATGGTGCTTAGGGGTTGGAGTGGTAGTAGCTGACGAGGCTGCTCTGGGGAAACGTTTACCTTTCGTGTAATTAATTCTCTTCATACAGGAGACTCGAATTCTAACTCTATGTTGGGATTTGAATCGACGATCTAATTCACTTCTTGAAGGATTTTACGTTACGCTTTGCTATATGTAGTTTGCTAGTAAACGCAGGCCTATAACTGATAACAGTAGTCCTAGGAAGTAAAGACATTGATCGATTTATTGAGACTCGAAGAAGAGCCTTTACTGCGGAGGACTAGAAAGGGCCTTGCCTGCTAGGGCTACGCTTCTTGTTGGCAGCCTTAAGCCCTCGACAGCCAGGCTGCTCAGCCCATATTGCTAGTTCTTCGCTATAGCCTCACGTAGCTGAAATAATCACTCATCCAAACCCCCGACACTTCGTACATCTACCTTAGCAGCTGAGTACTCCGCACTTGAGCATTCTTCGTAATTCATTGAGAATCCACAGATCCCTTATCGCTTGTTATGGTCGTATTTCCTCGAAGTATAAGCAATCGACTTGCGGATAGGAGGCAAACAAGAACAAAAAGATCAAACAAAGTACGATTTTTCACCCGCAAGTACGAGTGAAAGTAGCAAGAGAAGGTAAAGCCGCTCGACTATCACGGAGTTAACATGAAAGAATGATGGTGCAGAATGACATCTGAGCCCCCATGCGCAAGCAATATGCAATGTATTGCCTGTTTTTGTCCGCCAAGCATAAGATCTCCAGGTACGTGTCGGCGAGGGGAGCATGACGAGGGCGGAAAGTTCGGGTCACCGCGGCTTGAGATCCGATGATTTCGGATCAGTACCGGATAAACCTAACTTGCTCTAATTCCGGCAGCGGACATCCGAGGCCGCCCGGCTCGAGCGCAAACTTCCATAGCCTGTTTCGTGCCCAAGGGTGTAGATTGTCCAGGAGTAAACCATGGAGACTCATCTTCCTTGACCTATAAGTGATGCTAGAGACAAAGAATATATCAAGGAATCGGGTGTGAAAGATGCTCGAAGCTGGATCAAATACGTAGCAACAACTTTGGTTGTCTCGCTAGTGGATAATTGATATTGACACCGGCTGCCTTTCCCATGGCACCACTGCTAAGCCTGCCTAGGGAAGGCGGTAGCACAAGCCCACTAGCCTGATTAGGAAGTG